GCACAGATTACCTGAGGTTGTTATTTGTTTTTTAACAGGAGGGCAGTCTCCTAATTTCTTGTTCCATAGAGCTCCATTGTCCAAGCACTATTTAAAATACGTCACAGAGACACACTGTTGCACTGTGACATGTTCCTTCATTATAACAAGCATGGTCATTGTAGTTTATTTTGAGTCAAATCCCACATATACTGTGAGCGCTAAATTTGTCTGAAAATAGTCCCCAATGAATGCACCATTAACTCCTGTCTGAATGACGTTTCCTAAAAACTAAAGTCCCCAGAAGAAACAATATATCAGATTTAATCCTGCATCAACTGTTGCTGTAAAAGCGAAATAAAAAATACTGACGTATCATCACCTTATAAGGCTGATATGCTAAATGTGTCCGCAAACAGTTTCGCACTTAATCACCCATCAGACATGGAGCAACATCAGCACATGGGTGGGGTTTGAGTCCACCTAATAAATTCTCCTTTTAGCTCTGTTTTTAACAGTGGCCCGGAAGAGTCAACACAATGCAGCAGCCACAGCACAAATGCAAATTAAGCCACATTGGAAGATAAGCCACAACACACCACAAGCAGTTTTTTAAAAAACAAACAAACAAACTGTATTTGTCTGGCCACAGGACATCACAAATCCAGCCTGTAATATCACCTCATGATTTCTCCACTGCTCGGGGATTGTGTTCAACTGGGTCAGGACACAGAGATCTCAGCTCTGGCCTTTTGTAGCTAAAGCTGTAAAAGCTAATTGATAAGCAACAGGTGTTGCCCATGCACGTGGGGGCTCAGTGGTGTAATTGGTGATTGGATTTTAGCCTTCTGAGTGGCAGCGTGTGACTCTCATAGCCTTCATTTGGGCTCAAAGTTGCCATCTCAAACTCTATATGCGAGGGGAGCCACAAACTTTGAGTGCACAGAGGGCTTATTGCCTCACTCTTTCACCTGCCCCTGCCTCCTTACCCTGCTGTGTCCTTGTCAGTCACTGGTTTGTTCAGGATGTGCAGGTAAAAGTCGGCAGCACATGTCTCACCAGTAACAGACGCTTGAAGGTGGTATACCCCACGATCCTCAGTCAGAGCCAGCTAGAGTGAGACTTTGCAGCCTAAACATCATCCAGTGGGGCAGATTGCTGTCTCCATCATCCAGGAATAGCTGGAGGGTGGGGTGGGGGAGCTGAGGTTAGTAGTTTGAATTTAATTAATCCAGGGCACATCTCATCAGGTGCCGACCCCAACTACACTACACTCTACGGATGAGGGGAAATTGCAAAATACACAATATGGGCTTGTTTAATGTGATAGTAATGTATCACATAAATGACAGATCTGACTAAATAACTGCTATTGATGCTTTTAAACTGTTGTTACTTCCCTGTTGTCCAAGTATTTGTTAGTGAAGCATGGTTCTAGCATTTAGATGTACAGCATCTGCAGCCAAATTTGTTTAATAATTGTCAAGTATAATGCTCAGCTCACCTGACAGTGCTGCATGCGTCCCAGTGGAAGGGGGAGCTTAAAAAAGAAAGGGGATCCTGCCTGGGATGTGAAGATGGGAAACCCACCAACTGCTGTCCTTACAGGACAATGCTGCATTAAACTTTGATTGTGCATCACATTCTTCAGCAGCAGCAACAGTTTGAGGTAGAAATCCAGGGTTTTTTGGTTAAATGGACAAAGGTGCTTGACAGGGGGGTCCATTGCACATTCAACGGCCAACCACATCGATCATGTGGTGATGAACAACGTTTGCAGGCTGAAAGTATCCACTGCGTTACCTTCTGTCCAGCCTTCTTCATCAGTGATGTCTGTGTCCTTTCTCACCATTACGCCGTACTGCTGCTCACTGAGGGATAGACCCAATAGTCCCATAATGTTTCTGTTGTCCAGTCAAACACCTGTGGAGTCGAAAGAGACCAAACATTGCAACAAAATGCATGTAAAAAGGCAGCAATGCTTGGTCTTCACATAAACAATGTACAATGTACAGCGTGTGTTTACAACCGGGCAGAACCTGATCCTCAAAGCAGTCATTAACAGATCTTGTTCTCTGCTGGAGGTCCGGTTACAAGTCGGAAGTGGTTACTAGGATACCGGCTGTGCGGTTGGGGACACTTGCAATGACTTTTAAGATGGAAAGATAAATGTTAATTTATCTGTAACAATTTTGAAATGCTACTATAACACACACACACACACACACATATATATATATATATATATATATATATATATATATATATATATATATATATATATCAGTGTCAGTAAGAACAGGAGGGCAGTTGTAACTGATAAAGCATGGAGCAGTTGGGGTGCAGCTAAACTAAAATAATAAATATGAAGTCCTGAATTGAACATTCAATAACACAGGAAATGAAATAAAGCTCCTAGAAATATCGTGACAACTTCCTTCATCTTCACTGAGGAGCAGATGCGAGGACCCATCAATTAAACATCAAGGAGGAATCTGCCTGGACTGAAATCCTGAGGGAATAAAGGAGGAAGGAAAAACAAAAAAAAAAAAGAGAAAGAAGATCAAAGAACTACTGTTACTACTACTAAGTGCAGTCACAAAAACGAAACAACATGGGGCCCATCCTGAGTGTTAAAGGGGAAAAGATCATTGCCTTGGGCATAGTGAGCTGGAGATCCATGGAGGATGTCCTCAGTGACCTCTAAAGGACTAAGAGGGTTAAAAGAGGAATGCTGCTTAATTTGGACTTTCAAGAGTCTGCTGTTGACCTCAGACCTTCTGCCTCTTAGAAGAACAACAGAGGAGCTTGTCCTACCATGCGACAACAACAGAGCATCGCCTCAGTGTCTACCACACACAGCTAAAGGTAGAAGACAATTAGGTAAACAAAGAAATACAAAAAAAGTATAAGATCCATTCAACTTTCAGCTTTGCTTTCACAGACCTAGTTACTTAATTTAAGCTATACTCTATACGCTCTAAATATTTTACACTGAATCAAAATGTCACGTGTAAAGGATGATAAGAGTGTGGGCCGATCTGATAATAAACACACCGATCAGCAGCTCAGTGCCCCTTTTAGTTGATTTCAGTTCAATATTCAACCATTGGCTGGTGGTCTTATCAAAGCTCAAAGCTCAGCTGAGCATGGATACTCTCCTCTGCCCATTGGGTGAGCATCACTTTGACTTCATCTGATGCCCAAAGAGCCTGCAACATGTCTGTTGAAAGCAACGTCACCTAGTTAGCACAGTGACAGCTCTCAAAGTTGTAGATAAACCTTGTGTCATACAATTTTGAACAATGTACGATTCACACGCTCACCTTTAGGTTGTGTTGCTGAGGTATGTGAAGACTTGACCGTTTGCTGCTGTGGTGAGAAGCTGTTTCTGAATGTTTGGTTGTGGCCAGAGGGTCATCAGCACTTCAACCACTGGGTTTCATCTGTGGAAGTGCATCAAAATGAAAAATAAAAATAAAAGCTTTGAAATATACTGTATTTAGTGCAAACGGTGGTTCATTAAATTGCTCTTCATTCATTCATTTAATGGCTTAATCTTTGTTTTACCAGGTCAAGTCTCTTCAAAACACAAGTGACCTGGCCCTTCAGCACTTATTTAAGCAGCACATACACGTTCATCAGAAAAGCTACATTCTCCTTTGGACCAATGTGAATTTACAGTAGGAGGTAAAGTCAGTCAGCTTTAAATCATTCTGTCATGGCTTCCATGTGCAGAAGAGCTGAAAGGCTCGAAAGTGTCAGGTTATGTAGTTTTAAAGACCCAGATACAGACCATCCAAAGTAGGTGAGAAGGTGATTTATTAAATGAAGAATAAACACAAACTTACAAAAACGGTGAGAATGCTGAGAACGCAAAATCAAAATGAGGGCAAAACGGGATACAACAGGAGAACGCTGGAACAAAACAGGAGTACAACAGATAATCCAAATACTCAAAGAATCAGGAGCAGAGACATTCAGAGTAAAACAGGACAAAGTGACAAAGACAGACGGGAGCACAGAGACTAAATAGAACAAGGGAGGCGAGGGTGATTGAACGCAGGTGAAACACATTACGGCAGAGCAGACAATCACAGGGCAAAGACAGGAAGTAAAGTAACCATGAGTAACACAAGGTAAGTTGTTTCGAAATAAAACAGGAAATAACCATAACGTCCAAATTAAGGAGTCCAAACATAAGGTCCAAAAAGTGTTCAAACATAAATAACAAAAGTCCAAACACAGTAGAATCGAATAGAAAGAACAGAAAGACTGTGGTCTTGAAGGTTTCTCCGGTCTAGCAGAGGTCTATAAAAACATGTCTACAACAATGGATATTCGAACTCAATCAGATATTAATATTCAATGTAATGTTTTTTTCTGGTGTTTCTTATAGGCCCTTGAATAACATGAGGAGGCAGATGAGGCTCAGCAAAAGTTACACTCTCTTGTACAAAGAAAGAAGCCGTGTCTGCACTGTATTTTCTCCTCAAGTAATCACCAACTCTTCTTCTTTCTCAAGAGCGCAGCTCACATGTTCTCTAGCAGCACCTGCAGTAGATTGTTTGAAATTGCATAAATGAAAAATGTATACATTAGAGAACAATCTCCCATCCCCGGTGTTGACCATTTTTTGATTTGCTGCTTACTTGTAGTCCTCTAAAATTGAGCAGGACCTGGCGTTGTGCTTTTTTCTCAACTTCATTTAGCAGCTGACTTGACAATTTAAGATTTCTACAGACCATACGATGAGCTTTTAAAACATGATCAAATATTATGGATTTAACTACAAAAAGGAGCTTACATTAATCCAATAATATAATATATTAGTGTGATTCACAGTGCACACTTTTCTCCATTTCAAGCACTTTCATTTTTAACACTTACACACTTCAATATAGGACTTTGGTCTGAATGGTTCCTACACACCAATGCTGACTAAACATAAACCCATATTTAAGTCCCACCTCAGGACAAGGATTTCACAAGATAAGACACCACTAAGAAAATTGTTCTTTGCTAAGAGTATTTATTTTTCTGTAAAACATCAAAAACAAAAAAATATTGAGAACAGCTACATTACTTTGTGGCTTATACAAGGCCACTCACAATAGGGTAAGTAAAGCAAAGATAAGATTCATAGCACAATCTCATCACACATTTGCATAATGTTAAATGATTCTTGTGTTCGACCTAAATCAAAATTCTCAATGTTTTCCTGTGTTAACTCAGCACCGTTAGAGCAATAAATGGTTTGACTGAAATCCTAAAAAACATAAATCAGCCTATTTTCAGTCTAAAACAAAAGCAGAGTAATTGTAATGTTTACAGTTCAAAGTTACATATAAAAGCATGTGGTGAAAGTACTTTTGCAGCACTACAATGTCCACAAAAATACTGTAACAAAGTTAAATGTTTCCTATAACACTACAGCCTTTTATTACACAGCAGACAAATTATCTACAGTCACATGCATTGAAATACTTTCATTTTTTCACATGATATCCATCTTCTAAATGTCTCTTGAAAAATTAATTTTTTGTCACCGTTCAAAAGCCACCAGTTCCTTCGAATGAAAATGACGATTAAAAATTCCCAAACATACCAGATAATTATCAAAATGTTTCCTTATTGTTCTCAAAATGTGACAGCTTTGGGTAACATTACTTAAACTAATTTTGTCACATCACCTAATTATATGAGGAACAGTAAAACAATGGACTTTATTAATTGAGATGCTCCTGCTGGCCAGGCAATGACTGGTGCTGGCTAATACCCATTATAATGCAAATTATAATTGATATTGGTAGTCTTAAAATCCAATGATCAGAAAAAATTATCATAACGTCATTCAAAATGTTGTTTTCACAACCCAAACCATCATGATGATCTAATCACCACAAGTCAAACTTTGACATGGTTCAAAGGTTCACTTACGTATTAAACTTCTGGACAAGCCTATTCTAATTATTTCACTGATCAGTATCACCCCTGATCAGTTATTTATTACAAAATATATATTTTTGGATTAATAATCATCACTTCCCTCGTCTTCCTCGTCATACTTCCTCTTGAGGGAGTGCTTCTTGTGCTTACCCCTGTGCCTCCGTTTACCAGAGAAGTCAGGGTTGGCGTCCCTTGTATGTAACTGCTCGTGCTTCTTCAGAAGCCCGGGGACGGAGAATCCCTTCCCACATGTGTCACACGTCCAGGGCTTCTTGCAAGTATGAGTCCTTTTGTGGACGTTGAGATGGGATGCCAGCTTATAGGTTTTCCCGCACACGTCGCAGCTGAAAGGTCGCTCGTTGGTGTGTAACCTGATGTGAACCTTCAGATTCCCGACCTGAGTAAAGGTCTTGTCACATATGGAGCATCGGTAGGGTCTCTCTCTGGTGTGGATCCTCAGGTGAACCCTCAGGCAGTACTTACTGGAGAACTTCTTTTGGCAGATCGGGCACGGGATCTTAGCTTTGGGCACGTGGTCTTGCTGGTGCCTCTTCAGGTCAGACAAGTAGACAAAGGTCTTGCCGCACTGGGAGCAGAGATACTGACGGTCGCCGATGTGGTAGCCCATGTGTCTCTTCAACAAGCTGGGGACGAGGAATCTCTTCCCGCATCGCTCGCACATGTGAGGGCGATCTCTGGTGTGCCAGCGCTCGTGGTTCGACAGCTTGAAAGCCGTTGGGAAGCTTTTGCTGCAGTGCTTGCAGGGGAACGTCATCTGGCTCGTGTGGCACTCCATGTGTCTTTTGAAGTAGGTGGACTGCGTGAAGCCCTTGTTGCAGATGTTGCAGTAGAAGGGCTTTTGGCCGCTGTGGGCGAGCATGTGCTTCGTCAAGCTCTGCAGTTTGGTGAAACACTTGCCGCACTGGCCGCAAGCATAAGGACGCGCTGTGCTGTGGGTTTTCAGGTGGTTGTTGAGGAACGCCTGTGTTCGGAAACTCTTGTTGCATGCTGTGCACACGAAAGGCTTCTCTCCTGTATGAATGCGCTCGTGGTCCATTAGCTTGGACTGATAAGGGAAGCTCTTATCGCATACGCTGCAAGTAAATCTGTCAGCTGGAGGCCTAATTTGCTTTTTTCTTCTCAAGCTTGGCTTCATGTCATCACCTGCACTCAGACTGGGTGGAGGAAGTGGTGGCAAGGCTGGGAGTGAGAGCGAGTTAGTGGCAATCTGTGACACCCACTGATGCAATGTGACTCGCTGGGTCTGGGGTTTTTGGCCATCTTTAGCTCCTGCATTGCCTGCGTTCTGTAAGGTGGAGGTAGTTTTGATCGGCACTTGAACTACCCTGAAAGGGATTGACTTCAAGGGCGTACGCTGCAATTCCGGTTTCTCAAGTGTTGCCGTTGCTCCATCTTCTCCTCTGCTTTGTAGAGTTGTGGCAGACTGCTCCTGTGTAGAACTCTTCTCCAGTGCCAGATTCTCCCGCTGAGCTGTTGTTGTGAGACTCGTTTCCTTTGCAGGACTGCCATCGTCCGCTTTATCACTGTATCGCCCTCTTTGCTGAGGTCTAGCGGCAGGGGTTGCTTGGCTGTCCGAGTCATCTGACATCACTCCCAAGTCTTCAGTGTCACTGAGGGAGGCTGGGCTTGTTTCAGTGAGGGTGACCTCTAATCGTTTTGGTGATTCTGGAGGTGGAGGTGGTGGTGGTGGTGGTGTTGGTGGTTCTACTGGTTTGGGCCGGAAGGCAAGTGAAGAGAGTACACAGTCGCCCACTGATGATGAGATGGTAGCTGCACAACAAGAAAAGGCTTTGTAATTTTCTTTTTGACTGTATTTAATGATTTAAAGTATTCAACATCTATTCACTGTCTCGTCTACCTTGCAAACACAAAAGACTTCTGGTATAAACTGATAAATATGTCATTGTATAAGGTAGGGAGCAACGCTTTTTTTGTTTTTTTATTTTATCAGATCTTTATACAAAACCACCTAAAGCATACCTTTAACACTAAGGAGTCCTTTGGCCTGCTGGTGTAGGAGGAGAGTCTTCAGGTCCCCTGGTTCAGGGATAAAGCCTCCACACGCCTCCAGGACAGCGGGCTCAGATGAGATCATGGCACCAAGCTGAAGTTGAGAGGCAAGAAATGGAAGTAATGAATACCTTTGAGGTCCAGTTTTGATTGTGACTCTTAGGTTGGATCATACATTTCTGTTTCCACCGTCTGACATGAAATATCTTTGTTTAAAATGAACTCACATGGTTTCACCTCCACCAGAAAATGTAAATATGTCTTAAATACAGTTTTCAAGGCCTTAAATGCCTTATGTCTTGAGTCAGTCCAGTCAAATAGGCTTTATACTGAACTCTGTTTTATTCATTTAGCCTATTTCATTTATTTAGCCCACATCTATATGGTAAAGGTGGTTTGATGCTACATTCCAACAAAGATTGGAAATGTCTAGAAAAGTCTGGAATTTGATTCAATGACTCTTTGCAGACACTTTGAAAATGTGTCCAGATACTGTAATGTGTGTTAAATGATTACAGTAATCAAAGTGACATTCTGTTTCTGTTTTGGTCTGTCAATTAAGATCAACTACAAAACACCCATGGAGCTGGGAGGAAGTTCCTGCAATTCCTGTCTGTAGCCAGTAGCCCATCCTGCTGTGACTGAGTAAAGTAAAAATCCAGTGACAGTACATGTGCATACCTGCGACAGATTGGGAACAGGAAGAAGCTGTTCCAGCTTGCACACCAGGCCTGCAGTCAGAGCCTGAAGTGCTGTGTCAAACTTTGTGCCGTACTGAACAGGGAACACTTCCTGCAGAGAGAGGGATATGTATGAGTTTAACAGCACTGTGACATTAGAATTATGAGAGCAGAACACTTTGTACAAAGGAGGAATTCATGAATTTAATGTGTTATAGCTCTGCATGCACTGTGTTTTAAAGCATCTGAATTATCTGTATAGTTTGACAATTACTCAGACAACGGAACAAGTCTCAAATCTGACCAGGTGTGTGTTGTGCTGACAACATTAGAAGCAACACTAGGTTGTCATATTCAAGTACAGTCACAAAGCATCTGTTATCACATCTACATGAGCTGCAAGCCTGAATTTAAATACTACAATGTGGATACCTGGAAGAAGCGCTTCCTTTCTGCGGGGTTTTTGAGCAGATTCTGGACCAGCACCATAAAGTTTGTTTGAGATTTCTCCACTTCTGAGTCCTTCTGTAACACAGGAAATACTAAGTCAGCTTTAATTCTAGATTTTAATCTCTCATATGCACTTGAAGAGGGTGCTGTTTATGTTTCTCATCATTAAAAAGTTTTCATTCTTACCCCTGAAGATGCAGAGACCTTCAACTTATTTATGAGAGTTTGAATAGCTCGGGAATCTGGTGGGCCCTCTTTGTGAAGCAAATCCAAAATGATCTACAGCACAAGAAAAAAATTTAAGTCATCAGAAAAAAAAAAAACTAGCAAAAAACAAATAGAGTGTAACTGCTGGGAGATATATCTCTGAAACACACTATCATCTAATTCTGCGAAATAAATGAGGCCTTCAATTTCATTGTAAGATAGAGAGAGTAAAGCCATAATGTTACATGCTCCTTTTGTTCTTGATGTGTGTGATTTGTAATAGGAAACATATGGAGTTCATCAACACAGTGTGGTGTGAGGATCCACTTTGATGTTCAGTAACCGTAAGTAACAAATCTGGAGGAATGAAGGCCATTTTAGAAGCCTGGAGAGCATGGAGCATCACAAGCTGAGTGTGATTGAGGCATGTGGTGTTTAAAGAAACTGTTTGATTACTGGAGGGCTCCACTAGACAGCAGCCAAAGTATTGCTCTGTTCTTGTGCACGACACACCTTGACATTTGCAAGTATGGATCATTGATCGGTTTCATTTCCAGCCATTTAAGTGCACTGTTTAAATATCTGTTGCTTAAATAAAGTGAATTATATTGTTGGATGTTCACACACAAGAAATGAAACTCACCCTTGCTCTCAACCCCAACAAGAGCTGAGCAGTCTGCTTGAAACTCATCACCTCAGGAACAGTTTGCGTTACCATGGTCACAAACTCTTCCACTTTCACATACTGCTTCACATTTCGCTGCCGTATGACCTGCCATATGTACGAATATGTGAGCTGCAGAGGGGAAGCCATTAAGCGAAGGGAAGAAAGGGGAAGGGCACCTCCAACACCTGTAAAGAACATGAAGTCAAAGTGAGTTTTAAAATAATTATATTTATAAGTTAGCACAAGTTAATTTTTTAAAATTATATGTAACAAAAAATAAGTTTGTGTATTGATTTTAGACATCAGCACACCACACCTGGAAACCCTGTCATTAATAGTAGAAATGGTTTTCTTCTTCTAAGTACTTGTGCACTATGACAGATAGTAAGTTAACCTTTAATACCATGAGCCCTATGATAGCTAAGCAGGGTAAGCTGGCTTACTTTAACTGTATTAACATAATGGGTGTGATGTGTATTTATGTTTTATCCTGCGTCTTTCAGTCCAAGCACAACCCTTTAGCAGGTGGAGACACAAGCTGCTGTAGGGGGCGGTGCAGTGCTATCGACATCGTTTGATCGCTGCAGATGGTTTGAAAGTGTGCACGTCTGCGTGTGCATGTGCAGTCGAGAAGAGAATGAGCGCGAAACTGCAGCCGAGTTAGAGTTTAACTTTAAGCAGACGAAGCAGGCAACACAGTATTACTTAGGGGAGTTATCGCAGTTGAGATTACACGGTGCAACGGTCGACCAGTGCATCCGGAAGATGGATGATTTAATTTGAAATCAAACCGCCTGGACAGTGCTCACTAAAGCTGCTTGTCTCGCTAACTACAACATTTAGCCCAAAAATAGTCGAACAGATCTAGATACATGCATGTTGACCACCTATTAAGAGCGAGCAGACTGTGTGCTGCTACAGATGGCACATGTTGCGTCTTATTTTCTGACCACCGTTCTCGGCGGCAGCTGCTGTTAGCTTGCTAACGCTAGCTTAGCAACTTACCTGTAGTATCGGAGCGTTTCTCCATTCTGTGTTCAAGATGTATCGCTAATTTATGAGTCAATCAATCGACTGCACCGAATAGGCTGAGAGTGCTGCAGCTTACCGCCAAATACAATTTTTAAAAGTATTTAACCGTCTTTCTCCCTGACGTCAAGCCAGGAAGAATAATGGCGACCGCTATGTAGCGGCTTTCCAAAACAAAAGTCTGAGTGTATCCGGCGGATGTTTCCATATAAAATAAAAGCACAATCTTTTCAAAAGTTCGAGTGATGGAAAAAAACACAGAAAAGCAAAACGTCTTTTTGAGTTATGATGCTTAAAGTTTAGTTCGATTTTTAATAATTATATTTTTTCGCCATTTTGGGTGCTGTGCTGTATATATACTTTTAATTTCTACATGTGTAAATTTTGTTTTAATAACACACAAGACTGTAACACCTTTCAACATAGTCAAATGTCCAATCAGAACAAAGGAGTTAAGTATACCAAATCCAGGTAAAAAGCATTGCTTCTGGTGATGCATGACAACCACAAATACAGTTTTATTATTACAAATTTAATCACCAAAACATTTTTATTAATGCCACTACTATTTGTGCAATCAATAACCATTGTAATGAAAAAATTCTATCAGTGAATTTGTGTCTCTTTGAAATTACATCAAAGGTCAGGGAGGCCTGAGCAGATGAACTGACAATGCTCTGGTTGAACTCATGATCTCTGTTCAGTTCTGACATCCTTATAAGTTACAAAGTCCAAATATTTCACTTCAAAGAAGCATTTTATTAAGTCCACATGTCTTTCAGAAGTTTAACTGTTTGCTGTGTTCCACTGTTTTTCCAACAATATTAACATGACCCTTTCTATATTTTATATTATTGACACATACTTACAAAATATACATATAACACTGTCAGTATCATTTTGCTCATAGGCCACTTGCAGAGAGTAGACAAAATAATGTTAACATTTCATAAAAGAGGAAAGTGACCAAATCACTGTTATCAACTGTTGTGTGGGTCATATGAATACCAATTAGCGAGTTATAAAACACCTGACAACACTTTGTCACTTTTATGTGAGTTTTCAAAATAATATCAGGAGGCAAACAGATAACGACGGCAAACTCTTTGCTCATGTTGCAGAAGAAACAAACAGAAATATTTAAAAGAAAGCCACAGAAATCAGGGAGGGAAAGAGAGAGGGTGGGGGGTTGAGGGGGTTGGATGAATGTATCTATTGGCATCCAAGTTAATATAACCCACCGTTGTAGAAGTATTTGCCCTGATGATTTATGTACTTCAGAGTTACTTCACAGTGATATTGTATTTTCCCTGAGTGTTCACAGTATTTTGTCTACTTTCTTCACATTCTTGACTGGAATGAAAATCATTTAAAAAATACAATCTTGTGGAAAATGTTAATTCAATTTGGTAAGTGGTTTATCTTGTAACAAAATAACTTAAATATTTCACATACAGTACAAATACACACTTTCACAAAAAAAAAGAAAGAAAATCATATAAATTGGTCATTAAAATGAAAATAAACAACAGTATAATTTGTAGAGTTTGTCTCCAACAGGAAAACATTTTAATAAAGGTACATCGTTCCACATTTCATTGATATGTTTTGGAAGTAAATCATTTGAATACAGAAAATTGTTATTGGAATACTAACCATCCTCTGTAGATGAGGCTACATAGCCTGTGGTCTGGAAAGATTCTTTGCCTGTTGATTCATAGGGATCTGCCGACATCAGTCGTGTTTGAAACTGGCATTTCCTCCAGCCTACGGCCAGTTCTTTTGTGACGAGAACAAGCCCTCCTTATGCTTCTCGCTGAGCTCATCCGTCCATCCATCTATCTATCCCTATCTCCCTCACTTTCTGTCATCCTGCCTGTCCTGTCTCTCGCTCCCTCTCCCTGACACATACAGTACTAGAGCACTCACACTCGGGGAGTCATGTTCTCATGACTGAACATGATTGACTCAGTGAATAAGGCATTAAAAACTCTAACACACTCACTGTGGCTGAGCAGCAGCTATAGATCACTGGGCAACAGCTTTGAGATACAATGATGGGATTGAAAGTGCCTCTGGCAATGGCTATCTGCCATCTGGTCAGATCTTTGATACACAAAGTAGGGCGCTTGTTGAACTGCTCAGCGTGTTGTTTGTGACTAGCAGCTTCGCAATTTGTGACAGATCACAGATCATAATAATGTCAACAAGTACAAGACAAGCTGCTGTTGCATTTCAGTTGTTTTTTTAAAGATGGTATTGGTAGGAATGTACCTCTTTGCATACGCATTTAAGCAGAAGTCAGAATACAGGAGCAGGATGGGACTCAGTGTCTTAACTGTTAATTTGACAGCAGTGAAATGACAGTCTCTATGACCACCAGGACAGAGCCAACAAGCTGATGACAGGAGTCCCATCTCAGAATGAACTGACGTCCTCCAAACAGTGTGATATCATTTTGATCTGTGGCTCCAGCGATGGCACCAGTACAGAGTAACAGGGATAAAAAAAAATATATCAACATGGTGTGCTCAGAACAGGCCAGCCACATGCTGTTAAACGCTGGCCAAGGCGAGACAATTAAAGTACTTCACCAGCCATTTTGGCAGATAACCAGCCATTGTGTAGAGAGATCTTCCTCTGGTCTGAAAAGAAATCTCTTTGGGTGGTTAAGTGTTAGAAATGCCTGGGGAATTTTGTGATACACCCATCTTCACAGCAGGTGAGTTTTCTCTCATAGCTCAAGCCCATGCACTCGGATGAGTGAAAGCAGAGTGTCAGACCACACTCGCTTATCCAGCAGGCTCCTGCCAATAACCGAACAACCTGGAGAGCGAGTTGTTAAACTGCTGTCTGAAATATCCTTCTCCTCTTTATTAATTGCGCTTCATCCACTTTCATGTTCAGGGATCACCTCCCCCGCTGGCTGAGTGTCAGCAGCGTGGGTGAGTGTTTGAAGTGGGATGGAGACAGACACACTTGGGATCATGTCAGAAGGTGCCATTTGGTTATTTTCAGTGTAGCACACTGGTAAACGCCTGCCAGACTTGACCTAAAATGAAAAAAGGAAAGATAGAAAATCACTCTGACAGCATGAACAGTATTCTTCTATCCTGTTTTCTATGATGTTCAAATGACAGATAATAAATCTCCAATGCAAACATCAATACATTAGGTAATAACGGGGCCTCAAAGTACCACTGAATATTTGATGAGCAGTTCTTAACTTTACAAGAATTGCCTTCCTGGAAGTGCTCACTAAAATGAGGGCACATTATCATGCAGGCTTTATAAGACTGACCCACAGAAACCAAAAGGCACAAGGGTCAATGTAGTTGATGGAAAATTTACCGCCAACGATATTTTTTCTTTCGTGGAGGCTTATCGGAATGTATAATATTAAAAAGGAGGCAAACCACTATAATATGAGGTATGTACAGTTTATGATATATGCCCAGGATAGCATCCTCTCTAAATAATTAATTATGAAATGGCTCCCAGCAGAATATTTCATCCCTGAAGAGGCGGAAGCATGAAGAACGTGCTGAAAATTGCTAGCAATAAAAAGTGCTCATTGTGGTATAGAAACCATTCATGCTTTCTGAGTTTGACATTATTGACCTTTTATGCATATGTGCAATTATCGGCCTGAATAGTGCGATAATTGTGTTACAAAACTTGCAGTAAAACAGAGCTTTTATTTATTTTATTTTTTATGCTTGAACTGTATTTTAACAACACTACAGCCATGCTAGCAACACTGTGAGGCAGTAGTGCTTTGAGATAAATGCTAACACGCTCGCAATGACAATGCCAACACGCTAATGTTTAGCAGCTATCTTCTCTTAGCATTTTCTAACTAGCAATAAACACCAAGTACAGCTGAGATTGATGTGAGCGTCATTAGTTTTGCAGGTATTCGGTCATAAAGCAAAGATATTGGACAAACTAAAATTTAACCGAGTGATCGCATTTGCTAAAGGTTCAATGACTGTTTTTTTTTTTTCATGTTGCAAAAAAAATTACCATTACCTTTGGTTTGTTAAAGATCTTAAAGAGTTAAGGTGAAAATTCATGCACTTACCAGCCACACTATAAGAACAACACAAGCTGTGAAGGGGATGAGAACCAGAAGCAAGGGCGTTCTCTTTGACCAGCTGTGTCTACGACCGTCCTCCTGATTCCCTGGAGGGATGAAATTTTTTGGAAATTTTATTGAATACAGTTACAGTTACACAGAAATCTGATAGTGGATAGTCCAATTCCCTTGATGTTTATTTATTGAGTCAGTAAAGAGGATTCTGGTGGGACTCAGGCTTAGTCACAGGCATACGCACAGTAATTTCAGTTTGCTTCCCTTTTTGAGATATCAAGTGGCATAAAAGGCTTTCCCAAGTACTAGCTGCATGAAACTTGCTTTTAATGCAGCTTTTGATCATATAGTCCCTTTAACAACATGTCATTTTCTGTGTGTTCAAGGTCACATATGTTTCCTGTCCACAGCTGTGAGGCCTTGACCCCAAATCAATATCTTCCCACTAATATGCTACTAAGCCGCTCTAGCTTGTGAGGCATCCATTCAAAATCAAAAAATTTAAATGTAAATGAATGATGTACCTGGTGTTGGATTAAGGCATGGTGGCGGCTTGCATGAGAAGCCGGATGTTTCTTGAGCGGCAGCATGTAAGACGTCTTTGATGTAGTCAAAGTAAAGACCAGACATTAAGCTTCTTTCCTGGTAGTGACACTGGAAGACTTGCATCGCTGTTTCCTGGGGGATCAGACAACAAGCAATCCTGAAATAACTCAATTATGTGATTAAATGTGCAAAACAGTCACTGAATGTCCAAAATATTGCATACTCATGCCTAGAACTGAGCTGCATTTGCACAATCCATGTTTCAGATTTGTCCTGCTACTTGCTGGCTTGCATTCAAATACTGTTTGCACGCAGGCAGAAGATTACTTACAGATTACCTACCAGTTCCTCATGTTCATAGGTGAAGCGTAAACTCTTCAGCATTGCAATGAAGACAATTATGTTTTCTTTGTTGGAGGAGATGGCACCAAACATATTAGCCAGCTTCCGAAGACTTTGCTCTAATGGATAGATATTTAATACCACCCAGCAAGTGCCAGCCTGGAGATGCAGGTATAAAAACGATCAGCATCTTTTGTTCAATATTAAAGTGTCTCTATCTCTATTTGACTGTTTCACATTATGTCTGTCTTCACAGATTTATACCTACCACTTCTTTGGGAATGTAACTAACAGGAATTTCATAATCAGAGGGGATATTCTGCTTCTACAATGGAGAGAATGAAAGAGAGAGAAATATTTTTACAATGTAATATCAGCAACAGAAGAGTCTCATAGTGACATTTTCTTAACATACAGCACATATACACAAACTCAGAGATCATATGACAGCAAAATATACTGTGCGTGGTATGCATTTGTGTCTGTAGCAACTCAGTAATCTCACCAATAATGACAGCTTGCTCACATCATCAGTTATTGGTGTCCCAAATTTTCCAGAGCAGAGATTCAAACTTGTGAACAGACTCAAGAGGAGACAAGGTGCTTTCAAAATCTGAAGGACAGAAAAATGTAAAGGCACATAAACATCACACAGTGTGTTTACACATCAGGTAAAGTCGACTGTATTCATAGCCCTGTTATCACAGGAAGACGTTATGTACTGAGCATTAATTCAGCATAACACCAATTCACGTTAATCTAGTTCTATGTTCACACCTGTAAGTTGACCAGTGAAACCACACTGACACCCACAGTGCCTTGCTAAAGGGTTCCATGATTGTATTTTTTGTATACAGGACAGCACAATCACTTCCCCCACCCTGGCAGGAGTGAGGGTCCTGATGCGTTTCCTAAGCACACAGGCTGCTAAAAAACATCTTTCCATAAAATATTATGGTGTAGCAGATAATGTGTTCATATCTCAAATAAATATTTTCTATTGAAGTTACTGAGTTAATCCTTTGATAATCTTTGTGTCTTTAATGTATTGCAAAAGGAAGAGACGAGGGTCCTGCTGGGGAAAAATTGCAAAAATAATCTGTCAGTCAATGTGTGCATCAGTTCCAATTAAAACATTATATTTGCCCAATGTTCATTAAGAAACAAGTGACTACAAAACATTAGAAGCATTTACAAGTGCACAGTTCATACAGTAATGCATGTTATATTTTTCTTCTTAACAGAGCATCCAGTTTATAGTATAGTGCTTTTACTCAGTTACCAAGGACTGCTTGAGTGCTTGAATTTCTTCATATTAGTTTTCCATTAGTCTTCACATTGGTTTGATGTTACATTTCCCAAATGCTGAATATCAAATTTCCTCCATTAGCCACTCAGTAATATCACCAAAACAGAGCTGCAATTATTGGTTAATTAATCGATAACATCAAACAGATTGCTTCTGGTCATTTTCTAAGCAAAAATGTTAAATATTCTCTGGTTCCTGCTTCTTTCACATTTTGTTTTTTGTCAATATATGACAGGTAATTGAATATGTTTAATATCTTCTATTATTAAATGGACAAAACAAGCAAACTAAAGACATCACCCTGGTCAATCACAAATTGTTAATTGATTTTTTTTCCACATTAAAAAAACCCCCCATAAACAACTAAACTAGGAAATGCTCAGTCGACAATCAAAGATGAAAAAATATGAACTATTTAGACAATGGATGCATTTTACCTCTTTTATCGTAATAACTACCAAATCATTACACCACAGGACCAAATGCACAGCAGTGATAAGCAACTAAGAACACATAGTTACAACCACCAGCTGTAACGACTTTTAAAAAGTCAAGATTTTGAATGAAAAATGTACAATGACCTGATGAATGTATCTGATGAATGCTGAGACTTCAAAGTTGCCAGTGTGACAGGCAGGAATGTGTTTGCCTCAGAGGAATTTTCACTCTCGTAGAATATTTTCCAGCAGCAGAATGAAGGAAACATGCGGTTGGATTTCTAGGGTGAGCACGTGCTAATCTTCTCCATTCAATATATTGAGTGAAAGCAAATTGTGTCCATGTGTCCTTTCACTTTACCCCTCATTTTTTAAAATGGTACGGCACCAGCAGTATATGAAGCAGTTACTGTATACCTCTCAATGCATTAAAATATAAAGAATTCATCATAATGATTACTTTTATTTTGATACTGAACTCAATTTTAAATACTACAGGATTCATTAATTGTAGCATTATTCTGTTAGGTAAGAATTAGTGTATTTTTTCATCATTTGGAAAATGACAGTTGGTATTATATATTATAGTAGCATAAACAGTATATAGTATATATTTATTAAGTGTATAGTACAGCTGATAAAGCACAAATAACATACCAAAAAATTTGAAAATTATTAATCTAAATACAAATATTCTGCTTTTAGCAGAGGACAACACAAGTGGGGATTTAGCATAGGGAATAGCTGCCTCAATACACACTTTTACAACACACAATCAGACCAACTATATGTGTAAACAAACATAAAAATAAAATTGTATTACTTACTTTTTTCCTCATATGGAGCAAGAATCTGTGGTTGCTCAAATCCAGCGCATGAAATTCAGTGTTTTCAGTTCAAAGACAAGAGCTCATCTGTGTGTGTGTGTGTGTGTGTGTGTGTGTGTATGTGTGTGTGTGTGTGTGTGTGTCACGGCTAAGCGTGTAGTGAAACTCGAGGATGGGCTGGCAGTCTGCTTTCACTCCAGACAGATTGGTGAAGTCTTTTGACGTGGTGGAGAGGCCGCCTACAGGCTGAGTCACTGTGTCACACATTGACGCTGTCTGAGAGTTTTTCCATAAACTCCCACGTATCAATTTGTTCGTCAGGAGAAAGTGGGCGCTTGTTCTCTTGAGGGAATATTTCGCTTAGAATATGTCAAGGTTATTCCCCAAGCTGTTGTTTGGAGAGTGAAAATGAAACGCTAAGAGGTCTATGTTATGTGGAGGGTTTTGGCCCCCAAACTGAGGGTAGCTCAGATATTCAACCGACCTCTTTGTTCCATTATTCTATTATTTTTAGATATTGTAATCTATTTGGATTTTTTTTTTTTTATTTGGTCCATGTTTTGGCTCAAAGATAAACTACTGCTAATTTTGGATTACTTGAGTGTGTGTGTAGATGTGCAGAAGTTTAGTTGCATAATCTTCTCATGACTTACACTGATGAAGTGAATCCATGAAAAAGCTATTATCCGTAATTGATTTCCATTATCAAATCAATACCAGTCACAAGGGAAACATTTAGGAAATACAGAGGAGCAGATGTTAGTAGAGATACGCTCTGCGAATGAAGTGTGACTGGTATGCACAAACATGTAACCTGTGTGTTGTTTACATGTGGTGAAATGACCCCATTTGAATGAAGTCACAGCTCAGGGAAGGAGTACTTTGTTCAGGGGAGTTGGAAGTGAAAACGTGACAGACACACTCTGTGAGCTGAGTCAGGTCGTCTAAAGCAGGTCACATCTAAATATAACCCAGACAGCTCAGGACCCCGCAAAACAAAAACACAACGGGCTCTGAGCTACGAGCGCTCAAGGACACACACTCAGATCAACAGGTGAGATAAAAGAATATGACTAACATGAAATGAAATGAAATGAAATTTGCAGTATCCTATCAGATGTGACAGATTTATACTAATCTACTCACATGTGACGCCATTTCGAGTATGAAGGGTGCCTGCAGCTCTTCACTGATAAATATGTTGCATGCCTGCAGCACTGGACAAAGCACAAACTACAGACAGATGTTACCTGCACGTGTAACACAACTCTGTTTTATGACAACAAATCAGCTACACTATTGTTTAAATGGAAAAGCATGCAGACCCATGCTCACCATTTTACCCTTCATGTAGAAATGGATGACTTTGACCAGGAAGGCATAAATGAGGAACTGATTGAGTTTGCCATTCGAGAGAGCATTCAAGATGCCCACAAGCCGCCATCTTCATTACAGAGAAACAGGTATGAGAGTCCATATAGTCTATATGTCATTGTCTACCTAACAGTTTATTGATGCGGTTGTAAACAGTTTTCAAAAAATGTGTAGATTCCAAATTCACAGGAAATCTCACAGGAAACAATTCGGGTGAAATCAACCCAAACACTGTTATAAAGCTGTATAAGTGTTTCCAGTGTAAAATCTTTAATTTGACCCACTAATCTGCTGTTGCTCATTAGGAAAGAACCAAACAGTGAAGCCTTTATGAAGATAATGTCAGCCATTCACAAAGGTAAGGTTCCTGTTTAACTCAGAGGCACCTGCAAATAAACATAAACGTTTGATGTTGTGTGTTGTTGTGGGTGTCGGTGCATGAATCGCTGTTGTCCACGAACATTACAAATATGCTCCAGTGTGTGTTCCTGTATGGGTCTTGGTTTGGTCTCCACAGGTGACGTGTATGCGCTCCGGGAGCTGTCAGCTTGTGTGTCTGCATTCAGAGAGAGCGACAACAGGGGCCGGCTGCCTCTGCACGCAGCGGCTGTACAGCCACAGCGGGAGATCCTGCATGTGGTACTGCAGGGTGAGAGCTCAGTGCAACAGGCTGGATGTGAAGTGTAAAAGGAAAGAGCAGCTAGCATCTGCAATGTGAGATAGACCACTCAGATAGATGGAAGAGGTAGAGTGTGTATGAGCCCAACCTTAACAGACACTTTATGGTGTGTTTTGTAGCGATGTCAACATCCACAGACCTGACCCTGGAGGAGCACACGGAGGATGGCGACACGGCTCTGACTCTGGCAGTGGAGGCCGGCCTGGTGGAAAATGTCAGCATGCTGCTGCAGCACACAGCTTCACCACACAACACCAACAGCAGGAACGAGTCTCCTCTGCTCATTGGTAGCACACACACAAACTCAACATGTCACCAACTCACAGTCAGTTACTTACTCACTTACCCTAATTAACAGCCTATTCCTAAACAGAATTATTACCACTCTACAAACTTGTATTGTTACTAATAAAAATGTATACAGTAAGTCATTAGTAAACCCTTTACAAATTATTAAAATGTTCTATATTTACTTTATCAAATGTTAGCAAGCTAACACCCTAAACTAAGATGGTGAACGTTAGCTATACCTGCTGAACATCAGCATTGTGAGCATGTTAGCATGTTGACATTAGCATTTAGCTCAAACCACCTCTGTACCAAAGTACAGCCTCACAGAGATCCTAGCATGGATGTAGAAACATCAACAACTGCTGAAATTATTAGCTTAATAAAGTTTTTCTTCATAAATCCTTCATTTGTATGTTTTTTTTTTAACATGTCACTTTGTGTTTTCTACATTTTGTAGCGGTGAGACAGAGCTCATATGATATGGTTTTATCCCTCATCATGGGTGGGGCCTTTGTGGAGCAAGTGTGTCTCACTAAGTGGACGGCCACCCATGAAGCTGCAAAGGTGAACAGTGCGGCATTGTTAGTGGCTAAAGCATCAGTGAATCAGAGCACAACGTCCAGGCTAAATTTAACATTTCCTCCTGTCTTCTTCTCTTCCATCATTCCTCCCTGGTTTATTTCCCTGCTCACACCAGGTGGGTTGTCCAGCTATTCTCATGCTGCTGCTTCGACATGGAGCCAAAGTGACTGCTCAAGACAGACACGGGGTGACACCTCTGGGGATTGCAGCTGAATATGGCAACACTGAAGCTTTGGACATTCTCATACAGCATGGTAAAATGCTCAAAAAGCCGCAAAAAACCCGCTAGGTGTACAGTGTACAATGCTATAACACCACATTACAATTTCTCCCGCTCATGAGATTGTGTTGTATTGTCCCTTTCCTCCACTAGGTGGTGATGTGAACGCCCAGGCCAGCAATGGAGACACAGTCCTGTATGATGCATCCGGATCTGGAAACTTGGACTGTATCAAGCTGCTCCTGCAGCATGAAGCCAACCCAAATGTGGCCAGCTATGCCTCCGAGCTGCCCATCCACAGAGCTGCATATGAAGGACACATACTGCGAGTTAACCTTTATTTTCTGAAGCTGTGTGACTGTGCACTGACCAAAAGAACAGCTGTCATTCTGACACACTAGATATGGCAGTATTCTCATGTCAAAAGCTTAACAAAGTCAAGAAATCCTGAGAAAAAGAAATTGCTCAGGACAAATTAACATTCTTTTCCTCCTATTTTGTGGCTGATCTGATCAAACTGTCGGCTAAAACATGCCTCTCTCTCTCCAACTCACAGCTCTGCAGTGTTTTCACTGTAGTCGTTTCCACAAAGAGCCTTCTGTTTATCGCTGTTTGTCAGTTCCATCACTGAATAACACTGTAGCTCAAACCACAATCTAATGAACATTTTTCTCTATGTCCTGTTTTCTTCTTCTAGCATTTGTTTTTCACTTTTTCTGTCCCTCACTCTCTTCCTGTTTGCCCCCCCTCCCTCACTGCAGAGCCCTGAGGACTCTCATCCCCATCACCACAAAGAGAGCTATCCGTCTCTCAGGCCACAGTCCTGTGCACTCAGCAGCTGACGGGGGGCAGGTTGAATGTCTGGACCTGCTTATACAGAAAGGATATGATGTCAATGCTCTGCTGCATGCACATATCTCTGGTAGGACTCAGCTGGATGCACATACACATCTGTACAGGGGGCTATAGACATAACACCTGGATCAAACCCTCAACTCAGACATTTTATTGCCTGAGTTCAGTACATTTTATTGTGAGTGGAGGCAATAAATCACACTCTTAACAGTCACACACATATGCTTGCTCAAGCATATGTTTTTTGAATCTAGACATAAAGACTTCACTTGTCTTAGACCATGGAGTGTCCCTGAACAAACCACTGTAGCAAATAAGCTAAAGCTACATTCAAACCACTGGCATTGTCCTTCAAGTGTGAACGACATGACAAAAATGCAACATCAATGACTTTCTCACAAAAAAAATGTTTCTGTTCAATACTGTACTTGCAACAATAAATTTGATTCATAATCTATTTTTGCAGTAGCTTTAAGCAACTTGTCCACTGATCTTTTGTAAATCTTGTGACAGAGACCTATGGGGACCTCAGGAAGACTCCTCTGTACTTTGCTGTTTCCAACGGCGACATGACCTGTGCTGAGATTTTGCTGGCAGCTGGAGCGAGAACTGACCTGGACCCGCTACGATGCATCCTGGTCGCTGTGCGAGCTGAGAGGTGAATGGCGTACACATATTTAAGTGTGTGTTTCTTCATTCATAAAAGAAAAAAAAACGTGGTGGTGGTAAGGTTGTGCTGCAGTAACCTTTGACCTCTGTGCTCAGGTACGAGCTGGTGCAGCTGCTGCTTTCCTATGGAGCAGAGGTGAACTGTTACTTCAGAGTGATCAGTAACACAGCGTTCCCCACAGCCCTACAGTACTGCCTCAGGGACCATGTCATGATGCGTCTGCTGCTCAACAGTGGATATCAAGCTTACAAGTACATATATCTACTGTAAAATTAAAAGAGCACGAAGATTTAATGATTTCATTAACATAGTAACACAGGTCCGACTTTCTTTTTTCTTCAAATTTCATGTCTGCAACACTGTTTCTGCTAGGTGTTTCCAGTGTTGCCATGGTAATGGTGAAGAAATGGATAGTACCTGGACTGACCTCCATAACCAAGCCTACCAAATTTACTGTCAACCTGACATCATCACAGTAAGAGCTGATACAGACAGACACATGTCCTCATCATGTCATTCAGCCAGTCAACTAATAAATGAGCCAATAAAATAAATCACATCCCTGATTATTTCTCTCTCTCAGTTCTGTGAGTTTGTGTCAGTGTCGTGGTTGGCACATCTGGTGGGCAATGTGGTGAGGATGCTCCTGGACTATGTCAGCCATGTTGGCATCTGTCCCAACCTTACCCGCATCCTGGAGAGGAGGCCAGAGTGGGATGAGATTTCTGACATACTGAGTAAAACTTCCTACTAATTGCTTTGGATAGAAATAAAAAAATACATGAGGTCAAGGCGGGGTTAACCTTGCCTTAACAAACAACTCGTCTGTCTGTTTGTCCCCCCCCAGGCAAGCCACGGTCTCTGCAGCACTTATGTCGACTGGTAATCAGAGGTCACATGAGCCTCAGAACACTGAATAACCCTGAAGCCATGGCGGCTGTAACTTTTCCTCCAAGACTGAAGCACTACCTGACCTACAGAGAGTACGACATCTACAGTGACCTCTCCTCTACGTGAAACCCATTATTATACCTGTATGGCTAAAACACTCATAATGAAAAAGCACTCTTAATTATTTGCCAGCTGGAATATACTTTTTATTATGTGGTGTAAAATAAATGTATTTAGAACAGGAACATTTCCTCACAGGTTCAAATAGTTAGAATCTCTCTTTTCTTTAGGGATCTACCTGTTTAGTATGAACAAGTCCTCTCCTTTGTCTACATTAAATTTGGGAAAGTCAGCTATGAAATCCATCCTAGTTTACCCCTGAACAGATGCAGTATATTATAGCTTGGATGAAAACAGTTAACAATTGTGTGTTCTTTTGTTCACTTTGTGTATTATCAATATTGGGTATGAAAATAAAAAAAAAACAGTATTGTTACTTAAATATAACATGAATTTATTAGAATATATTTGAATGTATTTTGTAATAATAAAAAAAAAAGTTCAAGTTTTGCAACCTTGGGATGTTTTGGATCCTAATGCAGTGATGTGTATCCTGGAGATTACTGACTAAAGCTGGATTCACGAAAGCAGTGACCTGTTTTCATTCTGTATGCGTGTTAATACAACTATCCTGTACTGGGTTGGAGTACGACTGTAACTCGTCACTCAACAGCCCATGAGGACAAACAAGTTACAATCTGTTCTTTTTTTTTTAAAAAAAAGAAAGAAATTATCAACCTATTGGTGAGGTCAAGCTACTTTCCAATAGAAATCCTTTGATGCAACAGCTATTTTTAGTTACCCAAAATTATTAAATGCTAAAACTCGATTTAGTAATACTGGGCATTATTCTGATGACTTAATTCTAACCCTACACCTTTGTAATCCATTTGAAAGGTCCAATAAGGTGAAAGTTTTTAAACATGAGTCCTTGACAGCATGCTAACATGCTGATGTGTAATGTTGTCCTATGTGTGCTGATCACCATTACAAATCATCCTGAGGGGGGCATGAATGTATGTGTACCAAGTTTCATGGGAATCCATCCAATAATTATTGAAATATTTCGAAGTGGTAATGTAATGTCCATCAGTTGAGCTGTACTCGCTAAAAACCCAATAAGCTTGATTCTTGTGAATATTAATTGGTTAGAGCATAGGTTTGCGTGTCTTATTGATATGTCTTGGTTTGTCAAACTCAAACAAAATTTTAAAACTTATCAGCCAACGAATCAGGGAACATAAACAATAAAAACCACAAAGAAAAACAATACATCATACTTACATAACCTTTATCTACTGCAAAATATAAAGTCAAAACCACACATCAATAAACCTGTCAGCTATCTTATCTTCTTTGTCCCTACCTCCATATGTACTTTATCTCTTAAAGGCAGTTTATAATCATCCAGATGCCGAAACCTCTTTACTGATAGACATACAGAGATTGAGCTTTTTTCTGGGCGATACATTATCTCGGTTTATCTTTCTTGTTGTGCGTATCTGTTGGGTCCAGTTGGTCTTTTTTGGCCATGAACAAAGCCACTCAGGCCGTGGTGACGGACTGCTACGTTGACAGGCCACACAGTGTCTGAGCTCACATGCTTTTTGTGGCTCTGTCTCAGAGCACTGCCTCCCAAAAAAGACGCTGCATCATGGGGCCCACACTTTGCTACGTTCCCCTCTGATCCCTCTCTTAAGGCCCAAACAGCAGCTGTGGAGATTAGAGAGGAGAGGACACTGACACACACAGACTCTTCCTCACAGCGACACAGCCAGCCAGGACAGATCTGGTTCAGACTGGAGTGGACTCTCATCAGAAGCATCTTTTAGCTAGACCGGGAACAACCAAACAACTTTACCAGCAAAAGATCTCCTTGATTGGACTTTGTATTTCCAATGACCCCTTATGTCCTTGGATCTCCCGTAACCTCACAGCGGACTTTTGTAGGAATCTCTATCCCCACACTTCTCCTTTATTTTGGGGTCTACACTAGGTCATATGCGACTCAAGAACTGGTCTTTCTGTTTTAGTTTAAACTGATTCTGACTCGTCCGTGCTATTCAAGCTTTGGCCATGAGTTGTTTTGGGTACCGCCGAGAGCTGAGTAAGTATGAAGATGTCGATGAGGACGAGCTTTTGGCTTCCCTCAGCCCCGAGGAGCTGGCTGAGTTGGAAAAAGAGCTGGCAGACATTGATCCTGACGCCAACGTGCCCATAGGACTCAGACAGAGAGACCAGACGGACAAGACCCCAACGGGCACCTTCAGCAGAGAGGCCCTCATGAAGTACTGGGAAAACGAGACGCGTAGACTGCTGGAGGACGAGATAGGTGGAGGAAGCCCCAAACCGGTAAGTGATGGTGTTTAATTAGATTTGCTTGGCATTTGTAGGGTTAGAGGCAATGTCAGCTTGTTTGAAGTTGTATCAGATGAACTCAGGACAGATTAAAAAAGTTAGAAGTCCTTTGAAGTGTTAACAGGAAGAAAAATCAAAGCAAATACCACGACAGCTGCCTTAAAACTACCCATGTTATTTTAGTTTTACAAGATGTTACGTGAGTTTTAAAGAAAATACTCATAATTACATTATTGCATTTCAAACACTTTATTAAAATACAGGATGAAGAACAAGAGGAGTGTGTGACAGAAGAAAACAGTGAAGCAGAGGATGAAAAAGATGACAAAAATGAGAAAGAACAGAACAAGTGTGAAAAGAAGGAAGAAGAGGAAGAGCAGGATGAGGAGGATGAGGATGAAGAAGAACAAGTGGAAGAAGAAGAGGAAGAAGAAGAAGAAGAAGAAGAAGAAGAAGAAGAAGAAGAAGAAGAAGAAGAAGAGGACAGTGAGGAAGCGGAGGAAGCTGTAACAGAGGAGGAAGAAGAGGAGGAGGAGGAACAAGATGATAAATCAAAACCTGAACCCTCAAATGATTCTGGGACATCACGGGCTGACACCCCAAAGCTATTAATACCTCAGAGAGTGGAGCCAATTAGACTGACTCCTCCCCCTCCACCTGCTGACCCCATCACGACCGGAAACCCTACTGTTGTTGATGAAGCACTCCAACGAGTCCTTAGCAACAACCCTGAACTCACCGAGGTTAATCTCAACAACATTGACGACATCTCACAGGTATGAATAACACAAAAAAAGTTGTTCGGTTTTTGGTAATATTGAGGTTTTTTCTTCTTACTCATAAAATATTAAATAGAGCTTCTGGTCTGAAAATATGACCTCCTTTCTGAAGGTAAAAAAGCTGTTTAGTAAAGTTTTACAGTTTCCACCAAAACAGTAGATTAGCTATGAGTTTCAAGAGGTGGTAGAGTTTTGTCAGAGGTAAACATGTGTTAGCTTCCAGCTTGCTAGGATCCTGCTCTTTACTGTTGAGTAACTTTTGATTGTATGCCAGCTTAATTTTAGAACAAGGCATCACGCCATGGTTATGTAATGGAGGGCACTTACATATTTGATACAAACACTTCCTATGACTGGAAAGTGGACAAAAACATGGTGTCCTTTGATAAGGATTTTGTTTTCAGTCTGCAGGTTGAAATCTACTTGTGGTTTACTCAATGGCAAGTAGTAGTTAGTGAGGTTATTTTGCTCAATTTAGTATCATGTGGAATAATGTTGACTTGGTAAACATTGGCCTTACTGAAATGATGCTATGACCTCTATGCGGTGGCGGGGGAGAACCAATGGTCCTTAAAGTACCATATCATTAAATTAACTATAAATCTTCTTGTGTCAATGTTTCAAAGAGTTTCACTGGGGTATATATTTTGTTTTAATACAAGTCAAATGATATTCTATATGCTTTCATGTTGAGAAGTTCTCATATGTTACGGATTATGTAAACACTCTAATTTATTTCTTAGGAAACCCTGATCCGATTTGCTGAAGCACTGAGGTCCAACACACATGTGCGGGTCTTTAGCCTCGCAAACACCCGAGCCGACGACCCCGTGGCTCTGGCCATTGCTAAGATGCTGAAGGAGAACTCGTCCATCACCAGTGTGAATATAGAGTCCAACTATGTGACAGGAAAAGGCGTAATGGCACTGGTTCAAGCACTCCCAGGAAACAACACCCTGACTGAGCTTCGGTTTCACAACCAGAGACATATGTGTGGAGGACAGGTAAGTTCTCTTCCCTGACCTTCCCTTTTAGCTCCTTCACCAATACAATCCATCTTCTCTAAGAAAACGCCACCTGAGATAGCTTTTCTTCCTCCTGCATTTGTCTTCCCACAGGTAGAGATGGAGATGGTGAAGATTCTGAGGGAAAACTACACCTTGATCAAGCTGGGTTACCAGTTCAATCTCCCTGGTCCCAGGATGAGCATGACGGGGATCCTCACCAGGAACCAGGACCGTCAGAGACAGAAACGGCTGCAGGAGCAGAGGCAGCAGCAGCAGGGCCAACAAGGGGGGCCAGAGGGAGTTGTTAACCCCCGAACCACTGCACTGGTACGCAACTTTGCTCCAAAAAGCACAATATTGAAATATTTATAGACTGGATCGTGTTCCACTGGCAGATGATTGAATTATTTTTCAGTGATCCATGTATTTGTATCTACTTCCCTGACTCTATCTCTAGAGAGGAACACCTAGTTCATCACCTCACAGCTCACCCAGAGCCTCTCCTTGGTCCTCACCCAAACTCCCCAGGAGTGACTTGGCTAAAAAGCAGACTCCTCCTGCTCCACCTCCTCCTCCCCCTCCACCACCTCCTCCTCCCCCACCTCCCCCACCACCACCTCCTCTGCAGCAAGAGAAGAAGAAGCCCACCAGGATGATCGCAGAGGTCATCAAGGCGCATGAGGCGGGCAGCAAGAAGGTGACAAAGACAAAAGGGAAGAAGGGCAAGAAGGGGAAGGTGAAGGAGTCGGGGAAAGAGGAGACGGGCAGCATCCTGAAGGAGCTCAAGAACACGCTGAGGCCCGTGTCAGTGGAAAAGAGAGGGGAGGAGGGCAGCCGGCCATCCACTCCAATGAGGTCAGCCCACGACCAGCTGATGGAGTCCATCCGCAACAGCAGCATCCGCAGCCTGAGACGGGTGAGTGGAAGGATTCGTGCAACAACATTGACATTTAAATTATCCTTATTGTCTCCATTTCCACCCTTATTATCAGTGGTATTGTCCCCTAAATACTGTATCATATTGTAGCTGGATTATTTAGAGATGTATCTAGTGAAAAGTTTCAAAAAAACATTCCTCCTCGACAAGCACTCGAGCAATGTCCTTAATGAAAAACTGCAGTCCCTCTATAGGCAACGGGAACAAGTAGGAAGTTTAATTTAGATGAGGATGACACAGAGTCAGTGGTGTCTGAGTCATCTCTGTAGCTGACATGGTATGTTCTGTCGCTACACTGGGGTAGGCAGGCAAAAGGCTGCAAGATGATCACAATACTATTGCAGCCAAAGAGAGAGATAAAGAAAAACCAGCATATAGCAAACAATATCAGCTAAGCCAGTCAAGTATTCTGATCCTGAAGAGGAAGATAAGTTGATACAGAGAAGAAAAGTGGGATGGAAAACAATAAGACAAACAATAAATGAGAAGGAACTATTGCTGTAAAGAAAATTGAGTTCATCTGTATTGTTATTTTGAGTGCTTGCTATTTTTTCGTCTGGAAGAGGAGAGACAAGTATTACCTTGGCTGAAGCTTTAGCACAGCTTGTTACATTGTTAGAGTGGAAAATCAGCTCTGCCCTCAGATGGCGGGGTCTCCTAGCTGTGAAATTCCTGCCACTTAGTGCTGGTATTTATAGAAGCTGTTCACTGGAGCTTTGATAAAGACATCTACGATATGGTACCACAGCACAGCAACAAAAAACACACATTCGAGAAAAAAGCCCAATAAAACATCATCCTTTTAAGCCACTGAGGACATCTTGATGCAATGTCTAAGTTTGTATTAGTCGAAAGCCAACAATAAGAATCAGTCATGTCCAGTGACTCATGTCCATTCCTCTCATATTTGCTGTCACCATTCAATTTCTTAAACAGCAAGAAAGCCTTAAAACTATCTTCATGGCCTGCATTTAAAACTGTCATTACATTGTCATTTTCCAGGTGCAAGTCCCGCATCATCTACGATAATACAAGCAGAAATAAGAGCGGTCCATTTGTCGCTGTGGAAATTTGCATAACGAGGATGACCAACAGTGATGAAGGCACAAGTTGAAAACATATTGGTATGACTGAGGAAGCACAAACTGAATTCTTACTCATGAAAAAGAAAACATACTGGAAATTTGCACTGCAATAATAGCTTTACATTTTAATAATGTTGAAGTTTTTTTTTTTAAAGTATTTATGCAATATAGAAAATGGTATTTATATTTTAATTTTGAAATGAGTTGACTGAACTGTTTACTGACCAGCTGTCTAATTCACTGATTTCTTGTAAAATTGTAAATATGATCTGTCGCTGGTTGAATTATGTGCTAATGTCTAAATATAGCCATTTGGTGTTTACAGTAATACTTGTCAAAGTATGTAGACTTTTTTCTTATTCTTTGGCTACTGAATGAGTTTCATTTGAAAGAAAGGGGTCAAGTTGTTATACAGAAGTAGAGGCAGCACAAAAAAACTGTTTTTTATCAGCTTACCGGTCAAGCACCTCTGATGCATTTTCCCACTCTGACACATTCACAACACACCCACTCCAGTTGGCACATATTAGAACAGGGCTTTTGCGCACTTTGAACAATTCACAATGCATGACAAGTGAAGGGAAAGAATAGACACTCACACTGACATCACAGAAGAGAAATCGACTTTAAACTAAGATCTCAGGATCAAATAAAAAGCTGTGGGCTGCTTAAAAGCTGCAGTAAACGATGCCTTTAAAACAAGTCACTGTAACCTTTGAAAGAATAACATTCTTCCTCTTAAAATGTAAAGTTAGACTCATTGCTCAATCCAATGCACCCAGACATTTTGCTCCTACAGCCCTTCTTGGTCTGGTATGACCAGTAGCTTATGACTGCTAATGCTAGCTAATGTTAGGAAACTTTGGCTCTACGTAATAAATGAGGTATAGTAACGGACCTGTTTTATATATTGTCTAAAATCAGCCTGTGTAACTTGCTGAACAGGTGTCACTGTGGCTACAAGTAATGTCTACAGGATGATGCTAATGCTAAAACTGAGTAACAGAAGCACAAGTAGAAAAAAGGTTAGCAAAATGTTTGCTATAGGCCAGTATCTACACTAGCTGTGTCTCAATTCAGGGGGCGCATCCTTCGAAGGCCCAACTAGGCTGTCCCCTTTGGAAGGCTCCTTCAAATGCACCTGAGAAATGTGTCCTTCGGTTCCCAGCCAACAAAGGACCCAACGGGCGTATCCTTCGCAGCCAAAACCTAAGATATAAGATTCATTGCTTCATAAGGCGGAATCTGCGACTAAAGCAGTGGCCGAGAATCAATAAGTAATCCTCCGTCAACCAGACCGTCTCATTTCCACAACTGACAAATGAGAAAGTGAGAGCAAATGCGCTATAGAGAGCTATAGAGACTGAAAGATTTGAGCTATCAGCATCGGTCACCCTAATCCTGTTTCTGCACTTTCATTATGTGTCTTGGAGTTCCCCAACTCCTCAATCCACAGTGCAGCTGTTCAAAGACGATGCAGTCAGGGGTGGCAACAACTAGAAAACTACAAATTACAGGAAGGCAAACCATTTCTCAAAGTATACCAGACGTTTTTAGACTTTTTTTCTAGATTACAGGCATTCCATTAACCTCAGTTTAGTATGAAAAAAAATCATCTTTTTTTGCAATAAAACATATTCATTAGTCTAAAATCTATGAAATATTTAGGAAAATGTTGAACAGTACTATATCGTATGTGTATAAGATGGTATATTGCATGAAAAAGAGCATTTAAAAGAAAAGCCAACCTTAAACTAGACTTATGAAAGGTTTGGACAGAAATAAGTTCAGCTCCTACGGATGGGACACTCCCCTCACCAAAAACCAATCTACTCAATGTCTTTCCCAAGTACAGCAGCTCAGTATGCACAATGCATTCCTTTAATGTCCTAAGAATAAGATTTCCTGTGCTCATATACAGCACTTCATCATGTCTGTCAAACTGTAAATAGAGGGATCCTTCCATAAAATTCAGCCATAAATTGTACAGACTTCCTGCTTGTATAAGGGGTCTGTGCACTCAGGGTGGTCACTGCATTATCCTCTTAAAAATTCAAGACATTATTTTCAGAGTGGTCAGAGGTTTATGAGGGAAATATGAGGAAATGTAATACCAGTCTCCAAACCACAGCAAAATGGTCAAGTATGCAAGTTTGCATCAGCTACAGAACATCCCTTAAGCTTCTCAGTCACAACACTCAGGCCCTTTGACCTTTGCATTTCTTACTAATGTATGCATGTGATGCTGCTGTTTCACAAATGACACTGTGTCTAAGCTGATAAATTCCTAAAATGTAAATCTGCAATCTGCAATCTAGCTGCAAGTGCGTCAAAGAGAAATTTCACCAATAACTGACATAATATTCTACTTGTGATATTCTACTTAACGCCTAGTTAATTGGACACCTGGTTGCATTGTAATAGCAACAAAATCATGTGATCATACTTAACTCTTGTAAATCTTTATATTATATGTATGTTTGTTATCTATAAGCAAGACATTTAATAGCACTTTTATAGCACAAGCAAAACAACATGTGCCTGTTGCTTCTATTAATGCTTTTTGTCTTTCTGCATGTGTGTATGTGTTGGTCGGGGTCTCTATGGAAGCACTGTCTCCATGTAGTGCTGCCACAATAGTGGAAAGTGCCATACCTGCTCTAATCCCTCTCATAAGCTCTGCAGCAGAGAACTGATACGGGGTCAGCGCGGTGTCAGCTGATGTGGACATCAACTAAAAATAAAGGGTAAAGGCATTCAGTAGTTGTGGTTGTTATTGTGATTTGTTACAGTTAATTACAGGGTCAATTCTTGCAGTGGCTTCTAGAAGTATTGTTTAAAAGCCATTTCTTAGTTCCTCACTTTTTTCATTTACCTAATAGACAGTCACTATAGGCATTTTATGTTCTTGTTGCAAGCCTTCTTTTCTTACATTTTGAGTATTTTGAACTCACATGCACATTAATTAATTGTTAAGAAACCCAGATGCAGGACATTGTATCTAAATCTGCTGTGCACATGTACTGTACCTGAAAATAGATGAGATAGACATCTGACTAACTTGCTCTCTATCTGAATTAGTCTGTCCAACATGCACAAGAGAAGCCGGGTTAACAGATGGACTCAAAATAAACTGGGATGTCCTCAACGTTCAGCTATTTCTGTCTCTCACACTGAAAAGATTCACTTTTATAGCTGTATGTTGCTATTAATAGATGCACGAGGGGTGTCTGCACTCATTTCAAGAAAGACACATGAATGCCTTAACTTCTTTTTTTGAAACAGGAGTTTTACAGTCACACACACACATGCACGCACACACACACGTCATTGCAAAGAGATAACTAGCTATACTTCTGCTTTCTCCCTCACTCACCCAGTTTTCACTTCTACCTGGTTCAGTGGGTGAAATGGTAGCGGTAAATGGTGTGATAATCCTCTGCTCAGCTGTTACCAGATCTGTCCAACTCCCTGTCTCGCTGTTTATTGCAGGTGATGAGGCCTGTATTCATCACTCTAAACACACACACACACACACAGACACAGACAAACAGATGCAAATACTCATATTACATGCCTGACAGAGATGATTGTGCTCCGCTACACACAAGTGCAACAGAGTCTGTGAGTATAAAGCATTAGATCACTAAACACAAATATATGTCAGCTGTCCCCAGATAAAAGAAGCCCAAATAACAAAGTATGTAAATATCAACCTTTTATTGGAGTGTACAATGTCAGAGTTCATTATTTGTCCAGCCTCATTGATAAGGCTTGGCGTCCATAACATCTTATTAACCGAGTTACCTACAGAAGCTAACATCAGCGAAAACATGGCTAGGTTTCCCCCCCAAAAAAGTATCTTGATATTCGACAAAAGAGGTCAGACAAGTGGCAATTTGTCTCTCAAAGACAGAATTTAAAGAGAAAGCATTTGCTAACTGGAACCAGAGAAAAAACAAAACACAACACCAAGGAATTTGGAGACATTATAGCGTATAATTCATTTTAGTCACACTGTGGGAAATAAGTTTCTATATTAGCTGTAATATAACCCAAAGATATGCTAGCAGTAGGAGCATGCTGCTTGTTAGCATGTTTTTTTCCATGTATAATTTTTAGGTCTAGCAACAGAGTGGTGTGCAGCTAATTTTCTTGACAATAATAGTAGTGTTGTTACAAAATGTGTTTGAGGATATTTGAAGGACAACCCTTTTTAATTAATGTCACATAAAAATCTTAACCTACCATAGTGCTAATTCATGCTAATGCTTTTGGAAACAGTCTTGGATTATCAGGTCTAGAATGGACACCAACCATTAGTCTGGTTGAATGACTCATTCATAGCTAACAAATATTAGCAAAAGATAGCTACAGCTTTCTATAGAGCCAACATGGCTAGCATGCCTGTGTTGACCTTCAATGCAAAGATTTAAATAGTCGACACAACTTTTAAAAGAAGAAATAACATATTCTTCCTCTTACAAATGAAAAGTTGAATTCATTCGTAATAAAACTCACCCTTGTTCATTTCAGTTCACACAGAGGTTTTTCTTCTACAGTCTGTTGGTCTGGTATGACCAGTTAGCATATACTGGATGATGTTAGCAAACTTTAGATAAACATTTCTTAGCATTTCCCTATAACTGTCACTTGTGGCCGCTACTGTTTCGCAAAAGTACACATCTACTTTGGTTGGTTAGCAAGCAACACAAAAGTATAGTGCATTAGAGTACATCAGGCCATAATGTAAGGAACTGCTGAAATAAGAGCAACAAATACGTTAGTTTCTCTAACTTGTACTCAGTTTTGAGCCAGACAATTTGTAGCCACAGGGCAGTTGTCATTCATGTTTTTTAATCCTTTCCTTCGTCTCATGAAATGATCTAACATTAACAGTATTTTCCTTTGTGGGGTAACCACTGTTTGAACAAAGCATATGGTAAATATGATGTACTATTGCCACTACTTTCTCATTCAAGTGAATGGGGAAGTGGTCTCATATCAGACCCAACTGTATGTGGATTAAATGCCCACATCTGATTATTTGGTCTTTGTAGGGAAAAACTGACCACTGTCTGAGTTTTTATATAAGCATTTCCTATGTTACACCTCATTATGTACTAGTTAGTCAAGACAATATTGATACTTGTTTGAATAATGCCATGAATCTAATGTTTTTCCCTATACTGTCAGCACTTAGTGTCTATAACAGGGAGAACACTACTTTAGTCTCGCTGTTTCTGTACAGTAACTTAGCATATGGACCCATTATAAGCATCAGGTGTGTAAAACTAAAATGTCTTTATTCCTCAAGTTTTACATGATGAATGACCTGATTCCAACAAACAGGCATTTATTAATACTCTGCTTGCTACTGTAAAAAAAAAACAAGAAAAAAAAAGCAAAATTTCAACTTAAACTGTAGTGTGACGGTGAAAAAGAAAAAAAAAGAACTAAAATTCACAACAGATAGCCAGCCATAACACTGTGGGCTACCTCCATGCATTTACTGTATGTAGTATGTTGTGTTAACGGTTAAAAATGTTTAAGTGTATTTTACCTCATTACTTAAAGCATATGCATGTTCCATAATGATACAGACCTGAAAATGTCCTGTATTGATGCAGCGAGTCTCCTCTTTCAATCTGTGCAAAAATATAACAAGACTCAACTCTGGAGCAAATTTACAGTCGACAGCAAATGAAGCTAAATATTCCAAAAAAGAGCATTTCTTTTTTTTCTTCTTTGTTTTAAGAAAATATGAGTGCTAAACTAGGATCATTTGAATAAGTAAAAATAAACTACAGAGCAATAGGGTATGAAAATAGTTCTTTTTTTTTTTCCTCCTGATGAACAATGATGACATGATTGATGAAGGATTTGTGGCAACTTGTTGTATAAGCCCTCCCTTCAATCACTGACCAAAAAAAAAAAAAAAACATTCAACTCTAAGGTTTAACAGACAACTTGATGTGAAATTGCACATGTTAATCTGGGGGACAGGGAACATGGGAGAGCGACGGGGACATGTGTGATGGGAGGCTGAGTGACAGATGGAGGTGATAAACATAGAAGAGTTAGGGCCGTGGGAGGAGGAGGAAAAGATACAGAGAGATGAAAAAAGCAGAACATAGTTAAAATGACAGATGAGACATATTACTTGTCAAGAGACAGAAATGGAGCCAACAGGAACATAGAGACATGACAAAGATAAAGAAACAACCTAAGATATAAGAATGACAAACATTTACAGATTAAATGAGGTATTGCACAGATTAATAAAAAAAAAAAAGCATAAAGGCAACAAAAATATACAGCAAATTGATAGAACATTTACATTTATAATTTTGAAATTAAAAATTTCTTTTTAGAAAGACAAGCACAATTTTAGTGTCATAATCATCCAGGTGGTGGGAAGGGGAGAAAAAAAAACAAAACAAAACAAAAATAAATCGCTAATCATCCCATTCATCATCATCTTCAAAGTCCTCATCATCTTCATCGTCATCATCCTCGTCTGTGGAAGAGAAGACAACGTTCACATGAAGTCAACTGAAAAATCTGGAAATGATGCTCTTAAAAGGCAATTAAATAATAAGATACACATAATGATTTCTAAAAGGATCATTCAAACAAATGCAAGTGTTTCTGTGTGTTTGGTAGCAGTGACATAAATGTCACTTTTGAACTTTTGTCTGTTAGGGTTAGAGAGTCAACTCTTGCTTTGACCCTTCTCTGAACACATTTTAAGAACTACTCTCAAGCAGGGGGAGAAACGTTTCCTACAATGCTCTTGAGAGAGGAGGCTTGAAATGGAAAAACAGAATCATAAGGTTGTTTAAGGCTGATGAGGAAGTGGTGAAAGTCCAATTTATATTTTGGCAACCAAGTGTCATCTGACACACACAGTAAATGACGCAAGGTCTAGTTTTAATGTCGAGCTGACACACCGAGTTAGACTGCAACTGCTCTATTATTATTTTTTTTTTTATAAAAGGCAGGGTTTTGTATAGTGTAATTCAAGACCAAGGCACGTGTATTGTGAAATAAACCTCTATTACAAAATCCTCTCAAAGCTGCATCTCTCTGCTTCACTAATTAGGAGCCTTATTAGTATGAATATTCCCTTTTTTATAATATGTGAATATGTTCTAATGTTTAAGGTGAAACCAATCACTATGGATTAATCCTTTATATCATGTCGAGTTGAATGAGTCTCCAAGTAGGAAAATGCTCTTAGTTCTTTGTTTAGAGGTTATTAATGACATCTAGCTCTTGTTTTTGTGGAGGTTTAATACATTTATTGTACACTGGAAAAGTTCCATGATAAGTGTTCCTACAATATCAATTTCATGGTTCTAGTTTTACTAATTACATTGGTAACATTATAGTACATTGAATATTTTGGGGTCTCAGGCCACTGGTTGGACAAAACAAGACATTTAATAATTTCACCTTGACCTCTAGGACATCAAGATGGGTGGCATTTTTCACTGTTTTCTGATGTTTTGCATAAGTTACTCCAAAGAATAATTGGCAAAGTAATATATAGAAATATAGAAAATATTTGTTAGTTGCAGCCCTAAACAGTGTGTAAACAACCCTGGAGCTTGCTACTGAACATGACAGCAGAAAAACATATTGGATATATATATTACATATAGGACTGATGTTCACTATAGATGGGGTTTAAACATTAAACATTGTGTTTCTTCAAAATAAATACACTACTATAAAGTTTGCTAGCTGAGTAGAAGGTGGATGTGTCCGTTTAAGTATGTACCTGAAGAGTGAATAGCCTTGCTCCTTTTCTGCATCACCTCCATCAGGGCCCCTACGATGCCTGCCGAGGGGGCCGGAGTGGAAGGAGATGAATCGGTGTTGTCATCCCTCTGTAAAAAAGACAGCACCATCAGCCAGAGTTAAAGCACAGGGTTCGGTTCAGATTAATACATAGTTGACTGAGAGGTGAGCTGTGTGTGATGAATCAATACTGACCGGTTTAAGTTGGATTCCTTGCCGGATTTGGTCCAGAAGTGCGTCTCTTCCGGTGCTAGAGACTGGCCTCTCTTTCTGCTCTACCTTCTTCAGCTGGGTGCCTTCTCTGATCTGACTCAGCAGTGCCGACTTGCCGACCCCGGGTGAGGGCAGACTGCTGTCCCCTCCGTTAGCCTCCGTGGGCGGCGGAGGAGCAGGGGGTGGAGGGCCAGGAGGCGGGGGAGGAGGAGGTGGGGGAGGCGGTCCTCCGGTACTGGATGGAGTTGAGGATGAGGGGGGAGGAGGCGGTGGGGGAGGCGCCACGGGGATTGAGGCGTGAGCCGGTGGAGGGGGAGGCGGGAGAAAGCCCCGGCTTGGAGGGGGAGGCGGTGGAGCGGACATGCCTGGCCGAGATGGAGGGGGAGGCGGGGGGGCAGAGACGGGAGCTCTGGAAGGGGGAGGAGGCGGTGGGGCGCCTCGCCCCCGGGCAGGAGGAGGGGGAGGAGGGGCTGAGCTGTGGTGTGGGGGTGGGGGAGGAGGGCCACCTCTGGATGGAGGGGGTGGAGGAGCTGAGGAAAGAGAGAGAGAAAAAAAGAATAAAAACTTAAAGTTAGAACAGAAAGTATAAATAATCACTGTGCCTCATTCAGAGCTCACACTGCAGCCTGCAAGAACATCCAGTTTATATTTACTAATATTTTAACTTTCATAAAGAGACAGCTGGAAGATGTGGATGGTCACAAGGGATTTCACAGCATATCTGTCCAAAATGCTTGTCAGTTCCCCAACTCTTGCTTGCATGAAGCCATGCAGTTATAACATTAAGCCACAGGGGGCAGCCTTCTCCCATGTAACTGGTGTTAATTTGTGAAGGAAAAGTGTAATGAAATATATGTGTCAACAACCTTTTTCTCATAACAAAAAAGAGACGTTAAAATAAGTTGAAATCAAAACCCATTCCGAATTTGTAAGAACCAGCGGTTTTGTTTTGACACATGCCTTTTGATTTCCCTTACTGATTCTTGAAAACTAGTCTGGACCTAGAGCACTCGAGTTTGGCTGCTGGTGAAAAAGGTGTCAGTTCACATGCAAAATGTTTACAGTACAAGTGGAGTTTACAGGTGTGGCTAAGACTGAAGTTGCATAGCAGAAGAGTAATCACTGCATGACAATAATTTCATGAATTTGTCAACAGTACGAAGCAGCTTGGTAGAGAAACGCTGCATCTTTCATGTCAGTAGTTGGAGTCAAAAAGCCCCAAAGTCAGGTAATAAAAGCACATCCATCTCAAGTACAAACAAGTGTAAAACAGCAAACACTAAACTGACTTCAGGAACTGCAAAAGCCTCACATGTTATAATTGAATTCTTAGGTCATATAGTCCAACTCTGCATGCACAGTCATGAGCTGTCACAGCAGGTCATGCATAGAAACCTACCACTCCACCTGGGCGGACCTGGGGATAAAATCACCACACTAGTTAGATTGTCTTAAACTGACAATCAACCCATTAAAACACAAGGTGAGTGTGCAGCAAAAACATGTGCATAGATTTAACAAAACAGTCTGACTGAACATTTTCTACATCCTGGAACCAAAACTATCCTATAAATAAACTACTATAGTAACATTTACTGTCAAGCTGCACTAAGGAAATTCCCTTTCCCCATCTCTCCTTCATGAATCAAAGTGAAAACAGAATAAAATTTTCCCTGACTTTCGCTATTGTATCAGTAAACAAGATTTTTTAATTTTTTTTTTATAAATGGGAGAGGACAGTCTGTATTCCAAGCCTGCCATACCTTGTCTCCGCAGCTCGTTTTTGACAGCTTCTACGCCTCCTTTCTTCTCAATGAAGTCGTAGATGACCTTAGAGGTCTCCTTGTCCTTCAGCTGAGCCTCAGAGATGCCACACATGTCAAACAGGTTCTTTAGCTCAGGGTCCAAATTATTCAACTGGAGAAAAAAAATAAACACAGAGGAAGAGGTGACATTTGGTAAATAGATTTATGTAAACTGCTGAAGATGGTTACACTGTCAGTATAGGTTACCACAGTGATAGTCAAATTCCTAACCTTTGAAATGGAACTGCCACGTATAGTTGCACAGACACTGTAATAATTCATCCTCAGGGACACATTAATTTTTTTATATTAATTTCCCCTAGAGGATAAATACAGTATCTATCTATCTCTCTATCTATCTCTCTATCTATCATTGAGAGACACAGACTTAAATTGTATTAATCACCGAATGCGTTCCATTACTGTGGATACTGACAGGCCTACTTTCTTGTCAGTGACTTGGGCTCATTGTATTCAACCACAAGTGAACAGATACAAGCACATTTAATAAAAATGAGGGACAAATAACTGAGAGTTCTCCTCAGTCACATTTAAACTGTAGTTGAAAGTGGCAGCATCTTCATTAACTGATACTGTATCGTTATGGGGTTCCTGGGACTGAAACAGTATCAGCCTCCTCACCACTACTAAAACACACTGGCTGTAAACAGTGGCTTTCCTGCCACTCATGTGTGAGCACATTCCTACACATACAATACATAATCACATGGAACTATATGTTAAGATCTGTGATGTGATCTTAAGAGTCTTAATCTGTATTTATGAGCTTTGCAGCTCAGTAACACATTAAACGACTGACATGTTAAGAGTTGAGGTTGGTTCAGTTTGAATTATAGGGACGGTTGAAAAAGCAGTTTGACAATGACTCTTAGGAATATAATCAGCTGTTTCATTATCATTTCTTATTTTCAATATTACATTTTGCCTTGTGGAGACATTTACATTCACATTACCCTTTAAAATAGCTGAAAATGTGACCAGGATATTAGCAGTGATGCTACCACCTAGTGGTGTGGGGTGACACTACTACACCCTGGAAAAACATACCTAACTAACCTGGATTTAAATAGTTAGAACAGATCTGGCCACTTCCCCCTCCAGCTGTTTCTGGTTTCACATTGTGTTTTGTTGTCAGTAAAGACAATAAAGAGAAGTTAATTGTGTCCATGTTTCTTGTTTGTGGTTTACTTTTGAGGTTAGCTGTACTGCTGTCACGAAGTGTATCGTGTAACAGTTTGCAGGTAAAATGAGCCTTAAGTTCAGACTTCAGCAGTTCAAATCCAAATTGTTTGATTATCTCTTTAAAGTTGGGACCTATTTGAAGTGCTTTACTTTTACTGTGGATAAAGTGCTTTTTACTTTATCTGAGGTAAAAGTAAAGCACTTCAAATATGATATAAGAATGGAAAAGAGACAAATTTAGCTGCTAAGAGTATAAAATATATCCCTTGCTCATATGTGAATCCAGTCATTTGGGCTTCAGCTTTAAGCCTGGGGATTTGAGAGGTGAGCGAGCTTTGTCCGACTGACGTCACCCATTCAAATCAATCTAAGTCCTTGAAAGCATTAACTTATGAAACCAAATCATCTGAATTTTATCTTTTTCATTTACAGACCGAGCAAGTCCTCTGACCTGCATGATCTCATACCCAGCATCCAACATAATTACTGATGATGCTTTTTGGGAATGAGCCCATGGATTATGCAGATGCAGGTTAGCTCTCCTCCCTCCAAAATCTCCTTGTGTAACGCTCCTGACGACTTGGCCACGCAGCTCGGCTTAATGTTTTTGGAGCTGGTATTAAATTTGAAAAATCTCTCTGGAAGCGGGACGTCTGACTGACGAACAGATAAGCTTATGGGCCAAGTTTTTAAGAATATCTACATGAGCAGACATGCATACAAACAAGAGCACACATTGACATGAGGGTAATGTGAATTACTGCTTACATCAAAGCCTGTGTTTGGATCCCATCCTACATGCCCAATGTGCCTGTGAGAAAACAAGAGAGGATGTGAGAGCATGTAAAAATCAAAAAGAAAGAAATACAGTACAGTGCATTTCTGAAAAAAAAAAAGAAAAAGGGTGAGACATACAGATGGAAGTCAATTAGCTGTTTACTGCAAACACTAAGAAAACACCTGTGTTTCTAACCCAGAGAGCCCGCTGATGACCTGCAGTATGTAACAAACACTATGAAAGCTGCCACAGACATGATTCCTGAAAGCACAGCACAGATTTTCCTGCATTATTAATCTTTCACATATTCCTGGATTAACATCTCCCCCAGATTCACCAGCACTTATATAGACAAGAGGGATATAGGGACAAGCCAGAGTCTGGGCCAGTATGTCATACAGGAAACATGTCAACATTAAACTCAAACACCTACATTCATGACGCTGTGTTACTGTGGTTTTTGTTTTATTAATTCTATCACTGTCACAATCCTATCACGAATATTTGGAGGTATGGGAGTATAGTGACTAGAGGTTAGACAGGGTCATTCAAGGATGTCTTCTGCTAAATTTGTTGAAAACTGGATTAACTTTTTTTGGAAGAAATGGTGAAAGAGGTTTTCATCTACACCTGAACAAATTGTAAAGATGTCGGCAAGATAAGATGACAATTCATGATCCACCACCTGAGACAAACACAACCACGCTAGCGCCTGTAACTCACTGGAAGTTGCTCGGTGTGCCGATGTCCGCCTTGGTCAACCTCTTCCTCTTCCCCTTGCCCCCTTTTTTCTCCCTCTTGGGGAAGGAGGAGTGCACAATGTTGTTCACCTGAGAGTTGTTATGGAAACGCTGAACACTGTTGATCTCCGGGTTTTTGATGTCAACGGTGGCCATGGGCAACGAAGGACCTGGAAAAGTGATGGAGACAATGCTTAAGTTACAGTTTATATAACAGAGAGGACAGCAGCTTTATTAAAACAGACACAAAAATGGGTTGTGTGGTTTTCCATCACGTCTAAAGGAGTATTTTTAAACACTGAATACACATACCGGCTTTATATTGAAAGGGAAACAAATGATAAAAACTGGCATAATTGTGAAAACACTTCAGTGTTGAGTGAGTAACAAGTCATAAAACACGGAAAATGATCCTGGCTACATATGAAAATGCAAGTATGGGGATTTTCAGTGCCAGCAATGTCCTTTCAGTTATGTAATCCATTATTTAATGGCCATTACAGACTTTGTTTGGCTCAAAGAGAACTAGGAATTTTATTTGGGTGTAAGGTCGTGAAAGTGGCTCAGACTATGTGGGATTATAGTGTCATCTCATTACTGCCACTCATGTCATTTCAACAAAATGACAGAACTAGTTAGGTCCGAAATCTGAACTACAAAATGATATCACAAAAACAGACAGAGATGACAAAGAGTAAATCTGCTGTAGAACTTGTTCTGTCAGTTCAGTGACCTACTATCCATTATAACTGATAAACACCCTGTACTGTCATTCGTTCCAAAGCTAGTTCACTTTTGCAGATGGAACATATCTGAAACAATCATCCAAACTGTCAGCTATGTAAATGGATATTCTTTTATTTATGTAACCTTTTTTCAACCAGGCCTGGCCATGACAGGCAGAGATAACAATGAAATACCAAACTAACAACATAAAATAGACAAGACAAAGTGCTACAACATCTCTGAGGGATGAACATACTTAAAAATCAGAATATGAATTCAGTTGTATCTATCGTTAATTGTTTAGACTATTCGTCTGCTTGTTGTGCTACTGTTGTCTTTTTAGACTCTACATCTGTATATTTTCACCTAATTGTATGATCATCAATTGAGTTGTCTGTTTGATCTGTGTTGTTTCTGCTGTTGTTGTCAATACATCACAATCAATGCATTTCAATAGAGCATTTTACTCCACTTTCATATCTGTAGTGTATTGTGCTTGTATGATAGAGAAAATTTACTGTTTTAATTACACTGTACATGTAAAAGTCCAACAAGGGACAGTTCAAAGTTAGCCATAAGTATAAACTCTGTGGAACACATCAGTCCCATGCTTTGTTTCAGAACCATGTTCAATTGCATTGTCCCTATTAAATAAATAAATAAATAAACTAAAAAAAGTTTTAACTATAATAATACACTTTTGGTGTTTGTATGTCAGTGTACCGAACATGGTAACGTGAACTGCACACAACCAATCACAATGAACCAACACTAACAGCAAATCCACAATACACATGCAGCCAAACAGTATGGGAGTTAAATCAATGACAAGAGGTCAGCACACCGGGAAATGTCCACCAACAGTACAACTACCGGTACTCCAGAGTCTACACCTAACCTCAGTGCCATTTACCTTCCGGTTCATGTGTTAGCCACATTTTTCATGTTGGTCTTTAAAATTAACTGTGTCACCATTGTCCCACCAGTGCCTCATCTGTAGCACATACCTTTGAAACTCTCACGACAGGGAGTTTTGGGAGTTTCGCTGGGCGAAGGTGAGGCTGACCGACTACGTCGCCTTCTCACCCTGTCCCAAATACACCCACCCTCCTGTCTTGCCGCGCAGGTGGTCATACTGACATCAAGAAGCATTTTGCCGACCAAGCTGCGGGCTCGCTCTTCGGGGCAAATCGAGAGTCGAGTGGTCGGGTTGGACAGAGGTGGGTACAGTTCGTCCTGAGGGAGAACCAGGCAGTGCAGGGAAGACAGGCAGCTACCTGGGCCCAAACCTCCACCGGTTGTTCCTCCTCCACCGCCCTCACAATTAAGATCCTCAGAGGGAGCAGATAGGAAGGTGGTGCAGAACATCATTGTAGCTGATGGCTGTGCATGAGCAATACGGTGAGAACCAGGAAGATCTTGGTTCAAATAAAATGATTTCAACGCAGTGTGTCTTGCTCTGACAGATCGGTCTAAGGTCTGCTGTCTCAGTCAAGATATAAATGTGCAGAAATACTGTAGAAATTCTAATACACTGAAGCAGGGAAAGACTGCTTCCAAAAAGGATAACTTTCTCCTAAACTTGTCTTTGTAAGCAGGTAAAAAGCGAAATCCACTTGTCTTGTTTCAGAAATAATTCCAGTCTTCTTCGGTAAAACGTTTCTTCTCCGTTGAAACCTGAAGACAAAGATGATCCCAAAGGTTTCCAAGACACCATCAAAGAAAACAAGCCAACTTCTGATGGACTTCGCGCAATGGTCTGTATTTACTGAATTAATATCTTCCTCAGACATCTGGTGGAGCTGACACACATGCTGTCTGAGCTGTGAAGGCAGACATCCAGCAGTGCCATCAGAAGGGAAAAGAGCCAGCCAACACTTAGCCTGCCAACACTTAGCCAGCCAACAGCCAAAGTTTACTCTTCCTCTTACATTCCTTCCATTACTACAACAGTGCTCCTCTGTGTATCTTGTTTTCTCAGCCTCTGTTTCTTTGCTGTATCTGAGCTCTGCATATTTTGTATATATTTTGCAGTCATTTTCTATTCCCCTGGCTTTCCATCGCAGCAGGGTGCACTGTTAAGATTATCGTGCTCGGATTGGCTCGCCGTGATTGTTTCTCCACCCACCTCCACTGCTTTCTCCACCCATTCCCTGCAAAACACACAAATGGATCTAATCCTAGCAAATTATTCTGGATTTAGCATTGGATTTTACATAACCATTAAAACCCATCCACGGCATAATCCCCACGTTAATCTCAGGGGTTTCTAAAACATGATGAATCTGCAGGGTGAGAGAAAGGGTGAGAAAGGCAGTGCAATAGAGGCAGACAAGACAGAGAGAGAGGAAAGAGGGAAATTAAGAGAGATTAAATGAAGAGCAGGGGGCAAATAGGGACAAATGATGAGGAGCGGGGGAAAGGGCAGCAGGAGAAAAGGGCAGAACAGAAGGAAAGACTGGAGATGATCAGACAGTAACACAGTGATGATGCAGTAATGGAAGTGAGAGGGAGACAGATGGAAATGGAGAGAAAATATCCCTGCGCAAAGACAAGGATGACTTCCTTTGGAATTGAACCAATTCACAGACCAAGATGCACTTATTCAGAAACTGAAACCATGCATGCATGCACAAATCCATGATAGAAACCGGTACAAACGTTTCTGCATGACAGCGTGACTGGGCACCGATACATGGAACATGTTGCTTTTAGGTAATACTTGTCCTTTTAATTCTCCTCTCTGATTGGTGATCTTACAAAAGCTGCAAATACCACCGCAGAGTCAACTAGAATGAAACTCAGTAGAGCGCATACCTCCACCAAGGCCAAGCACTTGATCCGAATTATTATCCGGATCCGCACCCAACTGTGCAAACTCATAGATCTCAATAGATCCCATGAATATGTCTCATTTTTTATATCAAGTTCCATGTATCACTTTCTGAAAAATCTCACAATGTTGTGATTTAAAAAAAAAAAAAAAAAAAAAAATCCTGGATCCGCCCCTTTAAATGGATTGGCGTCAAAATTTAATGGGTTCTTCTCTGGCCCATGCCCAATCCCTCCACCAACTTTGGTGTAAATCGCATAAGTACTTTATGCGTAATCCTGCTGACAAACAAACAAACAGACACGGAGGAAAACATAACCTCCTTGGCAGAAGTGAAGATCTGAGTCGTCAACCATCAGCTCAAAATAGCTCCGAGTTACATGACGGTTTGGGGACATCATGTATGTATGACCGTATGTGGCATCTGATGTGACCAAAGCAACACATCCTCAGGCCCAGTACTGTTAAGCTGCTCTGAATATGAGCATCAGCTAAATGCTTGAATGCGTCATCTTGTGTAGTTAAGACCTCTGCATGGCTGCGCGCACGCACGCGCACACACACACACACACACACACACACACACACACACACACACACACACACACACACACACACACACACACACACACACACATTAATAAGCCAGCTTGGTCAAATCATACTGCGAGTCCATCGAAAACTGGTTCATCTCCTGCTCCAACTGTTCCTGTTGTTCATGAACCATATGTCCAAAAAAAAAAAAAAAAAACAATGTGTGCATATCTGCAATTGAATTCCATCTCTTTAGTCATCCGTCCATATTGAGTGGCAGGCTGAGGTCATGAAGGGCATGCTACTCATAGATAAAGACTCCACTACATGGCACTATAATATTATGTTATTCTGCATATAATCACATTGTCATGATATTATGATCATGTGCTTTCTTTTCCTCTGGATTCCTACAGTTTTCCATTTATGTTGATTTGACTGTGGGTCAGAATCATAAACATCAGAAATCAGAAAACCATTTGGTGGATTTGTAGGCAATATCTATATGAAACTTGTGTCTGCAACTGGACAACCTGTTGTTTTTTTCCCCTTAATCTTTGACAAACGCACTGCAGTAAAGTAAGATGTAGGATAGGAGGCAGAACAGATGATAGCTGTGTCCCAATTCCAAACGCCCTAGTACCTGCATACTACATACCACTTATCATTGGCATACTTTAGCATGTTGTGTGAACAGGAAATATTGTGTACAGATGCATATCAATTAATCTACAACTGTGAACGGAAACTGTTCCTGGAGCTGATTCACCACCTTCTACAATGCGTTTTCCCAGCTATGAGCAGCTCCTTCATTTCCTTTGTGCATTGCATTGTGGAACAATTGTGTTCATCAACCGTGCACTCATGAATCAAGTGTTTTTTCACTTTTCCAACAGTTTGAGTTTATCTGGTCTTTATTTAGTTTCTTTTTGGTGTTTTATTTACTCTTCATGGATGCCAGGTTACTGGTATTTCCTACAAAAGAATTAAATGCTATGTATGCTGCATAGCTACCACAATAATGGGGGGAGGAAAAAAAACAAAAAACAGGCTTGAGTTGTGGCCAAGAGACACAAAAATCTGAATGATCCCGAAACTCCACCCATATGACATACCAAACACACTGACACAAATGTTTCCTCATCTGACACTGTCAGTTTCTGAACTTATGGTCAGGAAATAGTGGAAAAACATACCATTTAGAGGGTCGCGTCTCTTCTCTGTGAACACACAGACAAAAATGAAACCATTACAATCCTGTGCTGAGTAGTGGGTTGGGTTAGTGAGAAGCGAATGTGTGTGAGAGTGCAGATGCACAAAGAGAAGAGAGTTTATTGGTTTTTAAGAGCAGGGCTCGGCGGGATTGGAAAGTTATTTGGAAAAGATGCCAAGCAAATTGTTCTGTTAGTGTGTTCAGGGAGTGTAAATCAGACATACTTTTCATTCATTCACACATGACGGCTAACATTATATCCATGTATAAATTCTATTGTGCAAAAGACTCTGACAAAACTGTCACGAGCACAATACGCATCTCTTTCTCTCTCATACAGCACTAAGACATTAATGACGCGCTCACACACACGCACACACACGCACGCACACGCACGCACACGCACACACACGCACACGCACAAACAGAACTTCAAAATACTGATGGCTTGAGTTGCCCATTGAAGGTCAAACAGAAGAAGCCTTGTAGATAAGATTAGGGACCCAATGCAAAGGGCTGAAGGGGGAAAAGATGAAAGCGACCGATCCATTTGAAAGGTCAGGAAATGACCCGCAGAGGGGGAAGAAGGAAGACGGACAGTCTTAACAAGCAAGTGATGATAAAAGTTAAGGCCTGGATGCCAATAATAAGTTTAAGAATGCATATGTGTGGCTTTGCATAAACAATGTGTTCTCAATTGCATCCTCAGTCTGGTCAGATGAACACAAACATTCACAGCTCATTTCCTTAGATAGAGAAATAAGAGAAGCTTTAATCCAGAACAAAAACCTTGTAACATTTCCATTAAGTTTTGCAGTGTCAAAGTCTAATTGCTGGTGCTGGATGAAAACCATGTGAATCCTAAGAGCTCAATTTTGATTTTAACAAAAAAATACATGTTTTGCATTCTATTCACATATTCTATTTTATTTATAAAAACATCTGTTAGGTCTAAGTGGTTATAAATGTCCTCTCACATATAATCATCATTTTGAATTCATTACATGTCAACTCTCGAAACGTTGTGCCCATGAGGGAGGAAGTCTCTCGCTCAGCAAAATCATTCATTTGCTCATTTCAACCTGAAACTGTAGTGCCCCCCTTGGGCCAGTCGACATAATTTTTCAAAAATGCAAGTGCTGTGTTGTGATGCATGCCTTCCATGATTTGCTTAAAATTTGATCTGGTGGTGTCTCTTATTATAAACGGAGGAAAAAATATCCCGTCCCTGACTGTAGTGTGTGTGTGTGTGTGTGTGTGTGTGTGTGTGTGTGTGTGTGTGTGTGTGTGTGTGTGTGTGTGTGTGAAGCACTAAAAATGTAGTTTCGATGCCAAATGCGCAGTTAAAATCTATTTGAAAAAAATACATTTGGGAGACTTTTGTTAAAATGACTTTGAATAGTGAACGTTTGGCTTGCGTCATAGTAGGCCAGACTTCTGATCATGTACACCTGAACTGCTGAAGCTGAAGGAGGGTTTGCAGACTGACAGGTTTGGAAGTGTTGTTACCAACAGCTTTAAGAAGTGTGAAGAGATCGCAGCAGATCAGGAGAAGAAAAGCGAATAGTCATCAGTACCAGGCAAAAGGCTATAAATAAATTTTAAAGTCATGCCCAAAGTTCATCTCACACACCAGATGGAATATATTAATCCTGTGCCTCTAAATGAATTTTCTTCATATATTCAAATTTTGATCTTTTGCCTAGTTCTGTAAAAATGACAAGTTCAGCAATTAGTTTGATCTTGTGCTCACACCAGTTGGATAGTTTCAGGCCAAAACCTCTTACTGCACCTTATAAAGTCACATTCACTGCAGTGGCGTGTTTAGGCTTAATTTATTATTCTGAACACTAGATAAAAATTTACCAAACGTGTCATTTTAAAAAAAAATCGTGTTAGGACAGCAGGTAGGTGTGTAGGTAAGTGGGCAGCAGCTGTAAGTTGTTACCAGTTTTCCTCTGTCTTTTCCCCAGTAGCTCTGACACATGGCTGTGGAAACGCTTGGTCTCCTCCTCACTGGCAAAATTCAAACCCACTTGGCATGTCTGCGAACACACACACACACACACACACACACACACACACACACACACACACACACACACACACACACACACACACACACACACACACACACACACACACACACACACACACAACATGGCAGAAAGTTGTAAAAAAAAAAAAAAAAAAATCAACACAAATGCATTTGTAAAGTCATTTTATTTCTTGTGAAGTGCCAGCAACCCACCTCACTATTAAATTTCCATGACTGAATTTCCAAACCTATTTCCAGCGAACAGTCCCAACCTTATCAACACAGTCAGCGGTTCCACATACCTCTTGGTCTGCTGGAGTGTGAGCCACTGTACCCACTAGCTAAGGTGTTTGCTCAACAAATAAAGGGGTCTTGTCACATCAAGTGTTTTAGATATGAAAAAAAAGAACTCTTTGTTTGAGCAAAGGAATAGAGTCAGAACCCTGTGAAACAGGTTAAAAATTGACTTTACAGTACAGGTGAAGAGAATATATTTGCACTTGTAGGACAGAGGAGACTTGAAAAGTCTTTAAAAAACAGTGTTTTTTTTTACTGTGACTCAAATGTGATAATAAAAAACATGATGTATGAGGGGCAGAAATTGGGGCTGAAGCTTTTCCATGAATAAATTAACAAATTAAAAGGAAAAACTAGAGACCATCTCGCAGGGGATCACACCATTAACAAGTTGACGACCACAGCCATCTACAAACTCGTCCTTCATTTCAATCTCAACTACACGCCTGTAAAGTTTTGTGTTTGCATCTTGCACAGTAGTGACTATCACAGTGGCAAAATCTGTCCACAGACATATAACCAGCTGCCTAACACTCAAAGCTGCTTCTGTGGTAGTTCCTGCTACACAGGCTCAGAAGGTGAAAACAATACCTGCCGCGCTGTCGCAGCTGCTAAAAATAAATAAATAAAAATGGGAAATGTGAAATAGAGAGAGTAACTCACATCTCCAGCAAATGTGATGAAGTAGGGTTTGGGGAAATAGATGCTGAAGTTGTTGTACAGCTCCTGTTCAAACATCATCTTACCGTCCTGTAGAAAAACACACAATGTTAAATCCAGAATAAATAGATTACACAATAGCAAATACAACAGACAGTAAATGCTACAGGCCTTTAATGAACGGACGGTGATACACCACCGTTGACATTCATTTGGGCGAGTACAGTCGTCTGGTCTTGTGCCAGTGTCAACTACTGTAGCGATAGACCACAGATGTAATCATCAGTGTGCAGATTCGCCGTTTGCCGTGTATTCACTCACCCTGATGTCAAAGACCCTGATGAAGTAGGATCGATTGGGGTTGTCTTTGACCAGACAGGCCACCCCGCAGCATCTCTTGTTCCAGCTGGAGTTCCTATCTGCTGTGAACACCTGGACCACTGCTGAAGACAATGTCTGGAGGGAGGGAGAGGGAGAGAGAGTCATCCTGCTGCAAATACCACCATAGGAAGAGAATAAAATAAAATCAATAATATATATACAGTATATAAACAGCTTGCTTACTATAAAAAAACTTATTGCAAATTAGAGTGAGTCAGAGGAAATGATGGTTTCAAGGTTTCTTTCCAAATAGTGTTGTTGATATTATATAAACAAATTAACAGATATAAGTTCAGGTATGAGTCCGAAACTACATGCAGAACATTTAACGTCTTTGACTCATCCACACTTGTGTCTCAAAGCAAATCTGTGTAACGACTGAAACATGGCATAACCTGTATTCACAGTCAACTTTAACACACAGGTCTCAACATCAATCTAAATCTAAAATAAACCTTTCACAATATTTTCCACAAGAAAAATTTCCCCTAAAACCTTTAATGAATGAATGATAGCTGCCAGAGACACAGCAGGTGTTTTTACTGCGGCCAGTATCAACATTACAGCGTCTGGTTATGCTGACAGGAAACATGAAAAATATCTAACAGGACAGGTGACAGTTCAGGCTAATAACAAGCCTACCATAATCATTTAAGTATCACAAAGTTTCTTTAGTATAAACAACATGACAGCGGCATAAGTCTTAATCGAAATTATCTTCCACCATTTCAAGGGCATCATGAAAATATAATGACCACAGTAACCACAGACTGATTGGTTGACAGAGTGACAGTGACTCTGTGGGGTGGGGGTGGGGTCAAGTCACGCTGTCCTGCAGTTGTCAGAAAGGAGTCCATCACTGCCAAATGCCTGACACGCAGCAGATAAACTATGAGAAGAGACACTTCCTCTACACTGAATCAGAGCAGAGGGAGGTAGATGAAATATGGCACCAACATAAACCTGAACTGATTTTGTCCTCATACTGCATCACTGTAAGAACACCGACGCGGTTGACAGCAAGTGTGCACTTTAAATAATGTCCAGGAAGTCAACAAGGACACACACTACTCTCAACTGTGGCTGGAAGCTGAGGTCACTCTGCTTGTGTATTAAGGACACTGCAAGCATTTGAGAATCTCCTGAAGTCTGAAATCCCTTAAGGATCCATGCTATATTAAGACTGAGCCCACATTTTCACTCTCTCACACACACCACCCCACACACACACACACACACACACACACACACACACACACACACACAACACACACACACACACACACACACACACACACACACACACACACACACATCACACCGGTAAAATCAAGTATTAGAGACATCTCAGCACTTGGCTTGTGCAGCATCTTCCATGCTGTGAACCAATATTCAAGCAGACACCAAGTCACTGAAACTTACATGAAAATAAAACCAGAACATAAAGACAGAAATAAATCCAAGTCATCTTTTGATCAACCCCCATATCACCTTTAATTACATCACCGATGACAGGAAGCAGCGGGGTCACAGGCACGGGCTGTTAGTCTGAGATTAAATACACACACTAAGAACACACCTGTAGCACATCTATGATCATAAGACCAGATCAGACTCCCACAGGTTTTACATGCTGCTCCAGGGGGTTTTCTCACCCCAAGGGGTCCTGGCTCACAGTCATTACCACACAGATGAAAGCAAGAGCATCAACAGGGGAAATTTTTAATACCTTTTCAACTTAGCAGTGCCAGGAAATGTTTGCATACCATAGAGTTCTTGCGTGGTTATGTTTCTGCTTGCTTGTTTCATGACTGGCCATCAGAAGTCAGCTACAGTACAGTTGGACACTAGGAGAAATTCCTGTCAATAGTCATAATATTGATACTAGCAACAACCAGTGTTTGCAGTATGACTGAATCGTCCACACGACTGGCAGCCTCAAGGATTGTGTTTGACCAAAGTTTAGTTCAATAAACATCTGTACCATCTGAATTTACTAAGCAGGTGCTTTCTTGGTGATGGAACTATGAGCAAGGAACCGAAACTGAAACTAAATTCCTGTGGTCAGAATGCAGGTAAAGTTCCTGAGATCCTGCAAAAGTTCCTAGAAAGGTTCTGATTCCCAGGAACTGACTCCCCCCCGGGGGTCGTTCCAAACACTGACGCTATGCTTTCTTTGCAGGTAATCCGGGTGAAATGGTCTTGTTTTTACATACAGCCACTGTTGCACACTAAATGCAGGGAAAGCCATGAAAACTGCACCAAAAAAAGAGGCTATTGTACAATTCAAGGTTTGGTTTACTTGCAAAGCCACTTAAAGCAATGATTTATTCTCATCTGACAGATGAGGGTTTTAGGGAAAAGTTATGGCGATCATTAACCCTACATCTATACTACTCCCTTGGAACACAAAGCATAAGCAGTCACACATCTTTTCACTGGAGCAAAAAAGCCATGCGTTCTCACTGATTCATATAGGAAGTTAAGTTTAGCTAAATTGGTAACACAGCCTTGGGGAGAACAGCTGGAAGGCTAGTTGTTGTCATGGCTAATGTAGCCCCGCTGAATGACTAACATTAATCTGCACGTAACACAGCCTAAGTGAGATAACAGGACCACATGTGCACTTGCAGAGGAACAGTTACGTCACAGTGATGGTTTCGAAGTCAGTTTATAAACTCGCAAAATGAATGACACTGCAGAACATCTCAGTGTAGTCTCCCACAGCATTTATCATCATTACGGTACGGATTTCAACTGCACAGCCCTGTCCCCACTACATCGTTACAGTATTAACAGACGTTAAAAGTGTGTCCTCAGAGAGGCTGTTTGTCTTTCAGCACTGTATGTACAAGATATTTTTATTCATATTTATACAAACACTGGGTCTCTTGGCAGCGTGGCAGCTTTTGATTGTTTGGATTTAGATCACAAATACCCAAGACAGAAAGAATAACATGAATTTATGATTCATGATATGAAACCACTTTATGACAGAGTTTCTCTGTAACAGCAGAATGTAGCAGTGTCCTGGCTCTGAGGCCCTGGGGTTTCATCTGCCCATGGAGGGCTGATTTTCCCTGACAGGGCCAAAGGCTGCAGGAACTGGAGCTCAGTCAATGGCGTCATCAATACCCGACAAAAAACGCTCGCCCTACACACATACACACACGCTCGTCTCTTATGCACTCGCTCTCTAACACGGTCAGTTTCTACATCTGTGCTGACCAGAGCTACAGTGATGATGCAGTCATCTGGCCAGGACACACACTGCACAGTCACAAACAGTTCAGCTGGACAGAAAGAAGGAACTGCTATTTGTGCAGGTGACACAAAAAACACAAACTGTTCACGATTCTTCCTCTAGAAAAAATATTTTTCTCATGTTTGCATATGTAATACTAATACACTTGTATGTGAGAAATACAGCACAGAAAAAATAGAATTATATGTTCCCACTCAACAGTTTGTGAAAGCAAGACAAAAAATTAAGCCTGTGTCCTTTTTTTATTTACTTGAATGTCGTGCATCAACCATTTGGTCAAGCTGTTCAATCCTGGCACAAATTAGGCACCATTACACCTCTTCACAAGATCTCCTGGAGAGGAGGTGAGTGAGGAGTGGTGGAAGAGTGGGAAGAAACAGAAGACGGGATAAGTGGATGACGCAGAAAGGCAGTGTAGGAAAGAAGTGGGAGAAAAGGAGGTGGAAGAAAGGAGGCAAGTGATGTACAGTAAGAAAAAAGAAGCAAAGGAAGAGCAGCAAAAGAGGCCTAAAGATAAGCTGAAGGAACACAAGAACAGAATGACAGATGACATAAGGGAGGTAAGGTGAAACTATAAAAAGAACTGAGGAAGGAGAGAAAATTAGAAAAGGGGAGAAGTGGAGGAAAAGAGGAGTCATGTTCCACTTCTCCAGCACAAATCACCGGAGGAGGCCGACCACGGGACTTCCTGTAGGACAGGACTGCTGATCAGGCAGTCTGCGCACACACACACACACACACACACACACACACACACACACAGAGTGTGAATTGGACCCCTTCCACCTTTTGCCCAGTCAGACAGTGTCGCTGATGGTGAAAACAGCACAAGGAATACCAATGAGTAAAACCACTGAGTGAAGACCAATGTGTACGTAAATGTATTGTGCCTCTTGTTCTCTGTGCATATGAATGAGAGCATGATACTGAGATACAGAATTCAGGGTGAAATACCTGTGTGTTATTCCCAAACTATGTGTGTCCTGCATCTGTATTATGTGCACCTCTCTGCTGCAAAGTGAAGTTCCTGGCCACACAGGAAAAACACCGGAAAAATTCTACTGTTTACATGCTCACAGAAGCTGTTAAAATCCACAACCACAAATTATATAAAAGTGGCAGCAATAGAACAATCAGTTTATCTATTAATGATCTAATGAACACTTGCCAGTTTTTACAGGTGGTAGAACAGTTTTTGGAGCACTCCAAGTCACGAACAACAAAGATAGCCACTAAAAACACACAGAAAAGGCGAAGAGAGCTCTGCTACTTTCCAAGAATTAGTCAATATACAACAGGCCTTTACAGCTAGAATAAATCAAGTCGACTTCAGTTGCACAGAGTCAGCTAAGGGCTGTGCATCTAAAAAGACGACAGTCCAAAGAAACAAAGTAAAGGTGACTCCATGATTCTTACATTTTCTGCATAATAAGTACATTACATAACACACAATCACTCAGTCAGCCACTAAATCACTGATGGGCATTCTAATTAGATTGGTCAGGAAGACACACAACAATGTCTGTCTCTTCCACTCTCCCCCACTCTCCCCCCCTCTCCCCCCCTCTCCCCCACACACACACACACACACACACACACACACACACACACACGATCTCTCCCAAAACTCAATCTGCATGCAAAGACGTGTACGGACACACACATGAGCGTCAGACTGTTAGGAATGTTCCCGATTCCTCGTCTCTGTCACATGTCAAGTGACACAATTGCCAAGATGCCAGAAGAACATCGTCATTGGATGTTTAAACAGGTTACAGGGGTGTAGGAAGACACGCCTCAGAAACCTGTGTGCTCATGTTTAAGGTGGAGGCAGCACATCTCACCATGTGACCTCACACACACACACACACACACACACACACACACACACACACACACACACACACACACACTTGACATACTGTGTCATGGGACAGGAAATGTGGCCTTCCCGGAGCAAACATGGACACACAGGTACCTCCCCAAACCAAGAGCATAGCCTGTTCACTGCAGTGAGCTCTACTGACAGAGAAAGAGGAAGAGCCACTTCTGTCTCTCAAGCACACCACCTTTACTATACACAATTACAGGAAGCTATGATTACTATGGGGAAGTAATCTGAGAACAGGCTCCATCAAAGTTTACCCTATAAAACAGCAATGCAGATACCTTTGTCTCACGTGCAGTGACCCATCTCTATAGAGCAAATTCAATTAAGTTACAGCCAAAACATGACACACCTTAACTTTTAAACACATCTTATCTGTAAAGGCAATCAATAACAGGTGAAGGCGTGACATTCTTTCCAGCTGATATCACTGTATGACATTTGCAAAACAGGAGGGCAAAGCTACTAAGCAAACATGGTCAGAAAAAATTATCCAATTTCAAAATCAGACAGGAAAATCTCGTTGCTAAAAAGAAACATGAATGGATTTTTTTTTCTCCTTTTTCTGAGAAGCTTGCTACTGCCCAAAGGTTGTGTTACACACACACCTCTTTGAGGAAACAAGCTGATTTAGCAACAACCTGTACTGCTGAGAGGACCCAACTTTACAGTGAAAGAGTTTAAAGTGCATTACTGCCTTACAGCTTTCATAAAGTGAGACTGAGGGTCACGATCGTTCTACGTCTGCTGGCTCAAAACAACTCAAAACAACTTATCAGAGGTAGCCACTTACGCCATAGTACCCACCTGAGTATACATGTGCATGAGCATCATTATATTAAGTCTATATAGGGTTCACTCTGCACTTGAATGGACTGTTTAGGTCTTTGGTGTGAAACTACTAACCACTAGCTAAATGCTAATAATAGTAAACATCAATTGGTCTGATGCCCCAGAGTTTTTTAGTATGAGTTTCTGAAATGGTTTATATGACTGATGAATATTAAGATGTGCTAGCCAGTGGGGATGCTTGATTTTTAAGGAAGAGGGAAAAACCTGTCCTGTCAGATCCTAATAAAGGAAAATCAAACACTGAAGACACGAGGATTAGCTTTTTAAGTCTACTAGTGTTGCTGCAGCTGCAAAACGCATCACTTAAAATGTCACTATAATCTGATGGGTATGGAGTTAGCTACATAGTGCACAAGGAGGACGTAAAAATGAGTCAGCTGAATGCTAAACGTGTTACGTAATATCGGACTATCTCACAATATTGAGTCGTGACATTGCCCTACTGATCCTGACTGCAGTCACACTGGTACAGCAGGCTACTCCCACTGCTCTCTCGTCAGCTTATGTGACTGGCAGGTCTCGCATTAGGGGGACTTTTAGCTAGTCAGCTCTGCCCTCAGCCAAGTCTGGTCGGCACATTCTTCTCGGTGGACACACTTCCCGAAAACAACCAAGGTTCAGCTACGTTATGTAATGCCAGTGCAAAAATCATTGTTTTGCCCTGCTTTCCGTTGATGGATTTAACAGCATCCAAAGCCCCGATCATTAACTCCACTCTGCCCTCACTGGGCTCAATGTGGTTAGGCCAGGTGACAGAGGAATTTCAGGATTTCCTGGGTGATTTCAGGTGTGTCAAGCTTTAAGTTAGAGGCGTACCAGCGGAGGCCTGGGGCTGGAGTGAAACTTGCTGTTGCCCAAATGTCACCGTCCCAAACGGGACGTTAAAGACAGTCGCTAGCTCCCAGCCCTCCCTCGTCGCCTCGGCTGTCAAAACAAACCAACCTCTTCAGTTGGAAGACTCAAGTGTTTCCCTGGGAAAACATACACGTTACCTCCAAAATCACAACATAAAAGTGTAGGCCACAAACACACCGTTACACCTCATAGCTAGCTTTATCTCCCCTCTCAGGACAGGAAACACGGTGCAAGTTAGCTGTATTAGCTTTTTTTTCTTAGCCACCTATCACACAACAATTTGATGGAAAAAAACTTACGATGCATTTCCTGCCAAGGTGGTTGAAAAGGTATTCATTCTCCTGCGGTGTCAGTAGTAGCGAACCGACATTTATTTGCCGCCGCTGCGGCGGATGTCCACTCATTATTGGTGATCAATTTATAAAGTATGCACCGACTCTAACTCGTTATATGAGATCCAAAAAGATACATAAACAATCCCTCGGTCATCCGTGGCCTTCCCCCGACCCCTCACACCGGTTCAGTTTATCCAGTTGCTCTGCAAAACCGGTGTGCCAAACAATGTACACTGTTTAGGGATGCCGTGCGATGTCCCGCTCCTCTTTAAAATAAGGTCAGATTTGCAGCGACTGAGCGAAGACGTAAATCAGTAAAAACTTTCCTGGGAAGTCCGGCCGCTAGAGAGCCCGGAGCCAGTTCCATCCAACATGGCAGTGTTAGGACGAGTCCACTATCTGGGAATGGGTTCCACGCGTTTCCCTACTGTGTCCCACATAATCACCAAGAGAAAATCTTGATACGGCAAATGGTCAGAAGTTTCTATATAAGTCAGTTTATTATTCAAGTGTATTTTGTAAAAAGCCCGATGAACAAATTCTGCTTTATAAAATCACAATTCCCAGTACACTCTCCATGGAGATGGTTTGGTCCTGTCCGCCCGTGGCTTTTATGACAGGAATGTGTGCGAGTGCAGAATGGGAGGAGATAAGAAATATAAGGTGCAAGTTGCAAAGTTCATGCAATGAAGCTCCTTGTTAGAGGAATTATCGAACTGAAAATTAATCCAAAGCTAAGCCTACACTTAAAAAAGCACTTAGCACAGGCTAAATAGGTACTCGTAAAAGAACCACAGAAATTTCTATTTCGTTCCGGAGATAATAATTTTTGAAGTCAGGGCATGGTTCAGGCCCTGTGAAGTCCTAGATGATAAACATTCCCTGGGATAGGAAATGATTTGCCCCCATTAACTGAAATGCTTCTGCATCCTTTCATTTCATTACAACCAACTATAAATAGCCTATAAATAAAGTGAAGTAAAATGAAGACTATTCCAGTTTCTATGCATAGCCAGAGGGGTAAAGGTGACATGTCTGACATATGTTTCAAAGTGTACACTTCTGTGTGTCTGTCTGTATCCTTGTCAACTGAGAATGCAAAATAAAACAGCACTATTGTTCTTGATGTATGACACAGTGTGTGAATATTACTAGCCAAAGAGTCTTACAGGAAACAATTTACTCTTCACAATAAACTGGACTAAATAATTATTAAACAGGCAAGGACAGCATTCATTGCTAGTACATGTTTTAATAATGCACCTAAGGGTGTTTGTAATACCTTGCAACAAGCTCAGTCAGGCTCAAAAACGTGTTGTTGTTTGCAGGATGGCAGTCTTTGAGAAGTAATACAAAGAAAAGACTTTCCTTCGTCAGCAATACTCTCCAGAAGTGATTTTTCTATTCTTTACATTTGAGCATCTTTTGCATGTTATACTTTTTGAAATACATTCTTTCTACATATGTAGTTGTCTTATGTCAGGTATCAGAAGCAGATCTGTCCCTTACTTGCTATGTGTTATGGAACATTTGTATTTGAATCACTTATTTTCTAAGTACACCTTCATAAACAAGGAATCTGACCAACTAAAAGTAGTAAGGGTAAGTGTAAACTATATATATCACTACCAGAAATTCTGATTTCTTACATTTTTATGTAGCTGATGTATAAAGGGCTTCTGAGGCTGATTTACATAATGATTCAGGAGGAGCTTGACTTTAAAGAAGCTCTCCCATAATCTTCATGACCCAAATGACAAGCCCTGTTTGACTCTGATGTATTCATGGTTGATAAAGTGTTTAAACCAACTCCTGGCATCTTCATATTCCATGTAGACCAAATCCAAATATCACTTTTGTTAGTCCATCTCCAGTCATTGCATACTGTCCATTTAAATCACTGTAGATGCTGCCAGCTGCCAAATAATGTAAACACAGTCCATCAGACTGGTGTGAAATGTCACCTCATGCTAAATTATTGAGGAGCAAATTTCATTAAAATTGTAGCCAAGCTGTCTGTCAGTGTGTAATAGAGAAGTTTCCTTTGGCCTTTCATTGAAGAAAATATTTTTCTGGCTATCTTTTGCTCCTCTATTACACAATACTTGCGGAAAAAAGACCATAGTTCTTTCACAATGTTCCTGAGTGTGATTATTTGCATATCTGTGAAGGTCTATATCTAATTATTTGCATATATACATGAACAATGTGCACACGATCATGTGTTTGTAGATGCGTGCGTGTGAGTGTGAGTGTGTGCATACAGCATGTTTGTCACAACCTCAGATCATTTATCTTCTCTTCCTGGGTCAGTAAAGAAAGTTCCTGTGGAGCTGGATGACAGCTTCTAATGTCACTAGTAACACCTGTTGTGAATGACACAGCGCATTCACCAAACACAGCAAGAATGGCCCATATTACTGCTTCCCTTCTGTTCAGTTTGTCAGAATTTGATGGATGAATATGAACCTTTTTTTTTTTTTTTTTAATACTGTATTACAATATCTTAGCATTGTTATTTAAGGGAACACTACAGTATGATGGCATATGGACAAAATGTGCTCCTACTTTCTCATATAATTAATCAATGAATCTCTCGCTGATGGTTAAATATGGTTCTTATCATGCTTTTCCCCAAAGCCTTCATTTAAATATAAGTTCAACACGTCCTGTACCTGCTCTTCTGCACTTACTTCCACATGCACAACCTGGTTCAGCCAAATCCCCTGCTCTTCAACGGAGTCTTGTCGAACTTGAAAAACCCGACCGACAGGCGGAGAAACACCTCGGGAAACGCTGCACTACTCCGCCTAGCCTTGGTTCAGCGAGGTGTAGACATGTTAGAAATGATTCACCCTGAATGAGTGGTTATGAGAACATCTATGTTATTCATGCAAGGGAGTGTAACAATTCTAGAGCAGTGAATGACAAGAAAGAAGGGTGGGGGAGAAAGAGAAAAGCAGATGGACAGAGGGTGGGAAATAAGAGTCGAGGGAAATGAGCCTTAGATAGAAAGAGAAACAGTCAAACTTGATATTACTGAGAAACGGCCCATTTACTGGTCTTACCCCAGGAATTTTGTGTTTCAAGATGATGTTGATGGTGTGACTATGAAGACGACTGTGGTACTTTTCATTACCATGGTACAAAACCCGTAATGCCAATGACAAAGACAAATTCCTTACTTTAATGTGAGTAAAAGAGAACTTAGACGGGTTCAGTTCCTTTTGGTTAATGAAAACGCTTTCTAAACATCTTTTTTTCTCAACTTGTGACAATGTGTGGACGCTTTCAGTCCGATGCATGAACCCCAAATTTCCCAAAACATTTCCCAAAACTTAAGTAAGTAATTATGTAAATGAAGAAGTAAATTGTGCATCCATCCGTGTTCTGAGAAGGATACAGATGCTCTATTCACAACAACTCAATGATGCTGACAGCTTACACTGCCTGGTATGCACTTACTCACCCAATAACGAGAACTGAACTGAGAACAGATACTGTTGGTTGTGTAAGATACCTCACTGACTTCTCTGAGCAATGCTGACAGGAATGCGTTAGGTGTGAGCATGAGCAGGGAAGTCATTTCAATACATGTGAATGTGTGTTAAAGTAAGTGTGTTTGTAATGTTTTAAGTGTGTTTACGCATGTATGCAAATGTGTATTTAAGGGACGGAAAGCTCTGTGTGGTGTAGGGTGTTTACGGTGTATTTGTTTTGATGGTTATTTGTACCAGTGCAGACAAACCTTCTGGGGCTGCCCTTGTGAAACATTCGTTTGACCCACTTTCCACAACAAAAGAGAATTGAGGTTATGAGAGAAGGAGGGAAGAGGACAACATGAATATTATATTTTGGATTCTGGAGGAAGACATCCCCCATAGGCCTCTGTATGAATATTTAATGAAGTTGGCCTTTCCACATCTCTTCAGCATGTTCTACAATATGGATTTTGGAAATATCACGACGGGGGTCACCTAAAAAGAAATATATTCAAGCAGGCAAGTATTGTGGTGTGCCAGGAGTGGCATTTTACTTCTGATTAAGGATTTGATGATAACACAGCTTTGCCTTATACATTCATACACACTGATTCACAGAAAAAAGTCTAGGGAATGATTATCAGTTATTGTCTGACAGTGCTTTCTGGTATACTCTAACATACATACAATGCTTCAGTTTGTTATAAATACAGTGATGATGGTAATGTAAGAGAATGGTAACTACACCATGTGATTCCTAACTTGGACATCAGGTCCCCCAAAAGCGATCACAATATTATTCTGTGATGATAAACAAAATCCAAAGCCAAGAAACAAACATAATCCTGTTGTGCAAAACTTGTATTTTTTCAAATTCTTATACAATATTAGCTTTTTTTTTTAATTGTGAAATACTGAATGCTTTCACCCATTAGGACTTCAAAAGTGGTTCAAATGAAACAATTTGAAAAGTAATTTATAGACATATTGATTGACTATTCGTAACAGCTTTAGACATATGCCTGTGAGAAGGGGTCACGAGTAAACATTGCTTTGCTTTGGCCAGGACTGAACCATCAGCTATACTATACATTACATATGTTGGTGCACTTTAATGACGTTTTTTTTATAACTGGTGTCCTTTGGGTTACTCATTATACCTTACACCATTTGTGCAACTAACCACAAGATGGCAGCATTACACCAGATATTATACCACTAACGCTGAGGGGTGCAAGCAGCACATTGGTTAATGTATGTAGACCAAAACCCAAGAGCCACTTCATGCTGGGCTGCATAAAGCTGCCTCCATGTGTGGTCATACAGCGAGGAGAATGATGATGAGTGAAGAGTCACCGCCCATCTTTTGGAGCAATTATTAAAGTGTTAACAGTCTTAACAATGGAGATTGTGGTGTTAACAATGCAGCTCCTGCAGCCGTGCAAAGCATTTGTAGACATGGACTCAGAACTTGGTGGTTGAGGCTTCCTTTAGCTTTGTAGGAATGCCAAGGAATTAGTTCATCTTATGTGTTTGTTTTGTCAGTGTGTACTGTGTGTAGTGAACTATTACTGATTAGGTTGAGATCTATCATCTGACTGCAGGATGCCCACCTATCCAGGACAACAGGAAAATATAGAAAGCGTCAGAATATACTTATTTTATGTTGCATCAGTACATCTTTGTTTTACCCCAACATGTTTAATCCATGGTTAACCAAAAACTATTACAGTTTTAAGTACAGAGTTTGAGCTGGCCAGAAAAAATAGTTCTAACATAATGTTATCTGATCTAATGTAATCTGATCTAATGTAATCTAATGTGATCTAATCTAATCTAAT